CTGCGACGCGCTGATGAGATCCAAAAAGATCGAAATCGCAATCCGCGTCTGGCAGTTTCGACAGAATACAGACCACTTCGAATTATTTTATTCGATTAAGCTAACGTGCCTATCACGTTGAGGTTGGCTACGCCGGGATTCGTTATTATCTATCTACCACTATTTATTCCACGTACCTATTCTTTAGCACTATTATGCTAAAAGGTTGGAGACGTGGATGTCTAAAAAAACATTAGTCGAAAAGGTGAACGTCAGAACATCTAGAAAACGGTAACAGTCGCATCGTCCATATCTTTTTATATGATATTTCCACGTTATTCTGTACGAAACCCTGCTATTACCTTTTTCAAAGTATCCCAGAAATTTCTTTTATATGCAAAACCATACGTGACTTGCTTAGAAATTGGAAACGAAACGGCCATGGGACGACGTGGCGGGAAAACACTCCTTTGGATTATTTCTTTTTAATTATTCACCCGGTAAGAAACTACGCATCAAACCATTACATTACTGCCTCATCATGTATGTTTTAAAACTTAAAAATCCTTTACCTTGGTCTTACATTAACATTAGGTATTAACAGCGTCCTTTATCATCACAATGACATTTCATCTGTTAGTGGTGATCTCAATAAAAATAAAGAAAAACCGAATGTTTCGTTATTATAAATAGATACCTACCAAAAATAGCAAAAACATAATAAACAATTACAACACAATGAAACTTACTGGTATGAGTGTGACACTAATAAAAGATATAGAACAATTACTGTTCCATGAAAAGATTAAGATTAGAAATTACTTGGTAAAAAGGACCATAAAAAAAGGAAAAATAGCGAGGAATCTAATTTACTGGACAGCTAAATGAAACCAAATAGTTGTAACGAAACGAAATACAATTCTACTCTTAAAATAAGAGAAACTAGTTAAAAAATAATTTAACAAAGTCCAAACTTCGCTTACAATAGCAAATCTAAGATAAAGTTTTTCCACAATGTAAAAGTTTTCTAGAAAATGTACCATTTCAAATAAATCGAGATAAAATCTAATAGTTCAAGTACTTATATTGCCAACAAGAGAAATCGCAATCACAAAAAGCTTCAAGCTTTTGACTTCTTCAACGTCCGAAACCTTGTTCAAATAGACGCATCTACAAAGCGTATGAAACTGTACAACTTGAACAACATCCAATAATTGGTATTTCAGAGAAAAATGGAAACCCATTCGGAAAATCACTTGAACCATTACATCAACAAATTTTGTTTTTTATTTTATATACCTATTTTTATTTCTATGGTTACGCACATTAAATCACCATTATACCACCGAAGATAAAGCGAATACAAAAACCTTTTTATATTGGAAATGACCGTAGTTCAATAAAGAAGACGTCCAAAAAAAAATTGGCGGAGACAAAAGGTAATGAGCTTTTAGCACGATTTTTACGGCTGCAATAAGTGACGAAGCAACGTTTTAGAAACGGAATTAAATCTGTCTTCCACAAGAGAGATAATAATACACCCGCAAAGTCGTAACTTCTACCCCACGTTCCTTATCTGATTGTGATATTTTAAGGCTTTATGTATCTGTAAGAGATCACAAATTTAACGCCTAACGAAAAAATTATTACATTGTCTTAACCGACTTTGAAAAAGTGTAAGACAATAAAATAATTCGAAGTGGTCTGTATTCTGTCGAAACTACCAGACGCGGATCACAGACCAACTTTGTAGTAACCAAATGTAGCATCGTGCTATAGATGGCGTTTACTGCGCCATTTGTAGTATTTTCTGAAATGCACTGTTGAGACAGCAGGTAAAAGTTGGGAGGTATGTCAAAATGCTACGAGACAAATAAAAATTTGGAAGAACGTTCCTCATTCAATTCTAAAACTCCTGTAAATATACAAATCGATTCACTAAACCGTTATAAAGTTATTGAAATTTTAAAAAATTGTAATTTTACACATTGTCATTTTATGGAGATTCGTTAACCGAACAGATTAAATTTATTTTTATTAACAGAAAAATGCTACTAGAAATTTCAAACTTCTATAATAAGTAACTTGAACTCTAGAGAATCACTTTAGCGTAAGGTTATTCAAATTCACTAAATGGTTATCGAGGAAAAAATGAAAAATTAGCTGAAAATCTCGTTTTTACTTGATAATATAATATTTATAATTGTCTGAAATAAATGCAATTTTAAAGTTTTAATTATTATTTAAACATATTAAAAAGTTTTACGCTCATTATTAATAGAGATTGAAACTAAATATTTTTTTGTTTCGAAGTTGAAATCAAGGCATATTCACTGCCAAAAGTCAGTTAAAAATTTTCCATATTATTCGTTATTTCTTATTTTATTCAAAGTTTTTGGTCAAATTCCAAATTTTCTCTCAAACCGTATACTTTTGTTTTAGTATAGATAGTATTTATTTGCCTCATGATATGCTACAAAACCTAATTAATCACGAATTTCTAATTTTATGTACTTTTGTCTCCGATTGTACCTCCCAAACATCCTTAAAACCGATCTCTTTTCATTTTATCTTTACTACTCATGAAGTATTTCCTAATTTAATAAGGGTTTGTTCAAAACGCAGTAAATGACGACAGTTCCAAGTGGAAAAAAGTCGGAAATAATTTATTGCTGACAATTTTGATCGTCCCAACTATATGTAAAAATGGCTAAAATTTCAGATGAAAATTCTTTATGCTTGAGTTTTTTCAACCCTTAAAGGAACGCTTAATATGCGTATGTAGTCTTCGCAACCCTTTCCTAACTAAGAAGAATTAGGTCAAAGTTCGTTTGTTTTTAATATTCTACACACTCTGCCACTTTGTTTCTTTCGCAGGTTTTCATAAAGTCGGAATTAAAAGTTGGCGTCATCTACGTGAAAGAAGGTCAGTACACAGAAGAAGAAGTCCTGGACAATAACGACAACTCGCCGTTATTCGAGGAATTCCTTCAAATCATAGGCGAAAAGATCAGACTGAAGGGCTTCGACAAATACAAAGGCGGTCTTGATACTGTACACGATTTAACAGGTAAATATTTTATCAAAAAGTATTCCATTCCTTCGGAAATAATTGTAACAACAATTACACAATTACCTTCAGGCATCCATTTGAAAAATAAAACCGATATCTGTTAGAAATGGCAACACTACACATCCTCCATAACTATAATACGCAATTAGTACACATACTTGACGAGAAATTTCAGTGGGTCATTAAAATAGCTAAAATTCGAATATTGCACTCGGGAGAAATTAAGAAATCTGCAATAATTTACTTTTTTGTGATACACCGAATGTTCATTATTTATTAATACAGATATCATCTACTGTAGTGAGCCGTAGTAGCCAAGTATCAAATAAAATATAAAATGGCTCTCGATCGCAATAATAAATAATTTGCGATAGACTTCGCCTTCCGAATTTGATCCAGTCATTAATAACAAGGTTTATGATATTTTAAAAAGTTAAAAAGTTGAGATAAATGGTAACATATCCAGTTTTTATAATAACTTCTGATAATTACATTCAAATAACATCAAACAGGGCACGTGTTCCCGTTTGGAATGTCGGGTTCTCTTAATTAAACCTTTATGGGGTCTTTAATAATGAATTACAAAAATTTAAAGAACGAAAAGGTATTTCCAAGAAATTATTTTCTAGTAGTTGAATAATAAAAATGATAAAATAATAATAATGTTACCGCATTTAAATCGATACAGCCCTTTTTGACCCCTTCCAATCGTTAGCAAAAATAATTATTGGACCTAAAATTTCTAACGCTTCTATTTAATTATTAATATAGAAATCGAAAGTTGAAAAGCGAATGTTTCGTAAACAGAAATCGCCACTCCCTTAAAATCTACTTATACCAATTTGAAATAACTTTTTATGGTTGCAATTCAACTACAGACATAAAGAACGAACTATACAACTTACTCCATTTTCGCTTGTCGAACCCTCTGGGTATATTACTTCGCCCTTCCATTAATAATAAGCAATAAGAAGATATAGGACAATTACGGTTCCATGAAAAGATAAGATTAGAAAATACCTGGTAAAGAAAACATAAAAAAAAAGGAAACATAGCGAGGAATCTAATTTACTGGACAGTTAAAAGAAACCAATAGTTGTAATGAAACAAAATACTATCCTACTTTTAAAATAAGAGAATCTAATTGAAAATTAATTTGTGTATATTACTTCGCCCTTCCATTAATAACAGTGAATTCGAAAGTATGAGACTTGGGTAGAGGTGAGTCAGAATCTCATGAACCGTGACCTTATTTGCACTGTTTGTTTGGTTTTCCAGTAAGAATGTACTCAATGTCTTCCTTTTAGACGGTTTCCATCTGTATTGAGTACATTTACTGTTCTGATACATCTTGATCCAATGGCATTATGAAACTTATTTCTACCACACTGTACTGTTCGTTTCAAGAAGTTGGAGATATGCCCCATCCCTTTATTAGGATGCGCCGTAGCATAATTCCAAATTCAATCATATTTGTCTACAGAGCTCATTTCTCCACCAATCATCGAACGAGAACTAGACAAAAGTGTACAGTACCATTTGCAGAATTATTTAAACTGCCTCGTTAAAATTTAAGAATATGCTTTATTTAAAACCATATTTACCCAAAAATAATAACAATTGAATTAACTTAACGTTCTACACACCTATAAAACTTTCGCTTTGTTTTCTATTGTTAATTTATATACATTTTTGTTTTAAGAATTTGCTAAACATTTTCGTCTAGTACTGTACAGTTCTACCCGATCTTCTAAGACTGCCCATCGAGAGCTCTGCTCGTTCAAGCTTGTTCCAACTATTTCTGTCTTGCTCACGCCTAGTGTGTATTCTTTCTATCTTCGCGCAGATTTCTTCAAGGTCACAATTCTAACAAATTGAAATAGACTGTACTTATGTGTGTTGGAAAAAGTCATGCCACGCTACTATACTTTCATTCTTTGTTTGATTTGTTGAATTGTAATTTTAAACAAAAATCATCACCAATCGATATACCGCAATTCTCTATTAAAAAAAGTATTGATTTGTGTGCTCTACTATCTAAACATAAATCCGTTGATTACGTTTGTTATCCGTATTAGCCAGTTTTCATAGACAGCAGAATTGAGACCAAAAAGAGCTTGATTAAGGTATAATAAAATCAAACAGTGCTCTAAAAAATTCCATCAGTGCTTGCACGTAGCGACCAATTACTATCAACTACGATTCGACCGCCTATCAGCTCGACACTAATTATACCCTTGATTATCTACCCCCTGCTGTCCTTAGTTAGAAGTAATTTAATTTGCCAAATGAGAAAAAGCAAATGGAGTTCGTGTTCAACGGCTTCAAGTGTAAATATGCGAGAATATATATCAAGAGTGTTTTCGCTTTGTATTTCATGGTAAACAAACGAAAATAATTATTTATCAATGATTTTAAGATTGATCGATACCACGAGATATGGATCGCGATTTTGATACAAAATTTTTGTAAGGCTTTCATCGTCATATCATCATAAGGTTGTCAATCCTAAGACTAGTTGGACGCGCACCTCCACTTTTTCCTACCTTGAGTTAATCTTCCTATTTCCCTAACACTAGAACATCCTACAGCTTTAACTATTTGTGAACAGTAATCCAATCTAAGTCTACCTCTACTCCTCTTAACTTCATGCCTGAGAAGATATCCTACCAAATCAAATCAAACATTATTATATGTATCTACAAATAGTAAAAAACTAGAGTATTTGAATTTTCCTTAAAATAAAGAAGGTTATATTTTAAAAATCCTTCCTTTGTTTGAAATATCTTTGGTTTATCATGCGATGAACGTCGATTCCAAATGGATGTTCGAAATATGCAGTGGCGATTAATAAATAATCACATAGTGACAGATTACGCTTGACTTAATCCTCCTTTCTCATTGTTCCAGGATTATATTCAGTTTACACCAACTGGAGGAATATAGAGATTATGTTCCATGTGAGCACTTTACTGCCATACGAGCGTCATGACCCCCAGAAGCTCCAGAGAAAGCGTCACATTGGCAACGATATTGTCTGTGTGGTATTTTTAGAAGCAGACAACACTGCGTTTTCACCTGCCTGCATCAAAAGTCATTTTCTTCACACTTTCATCCTCGGTAAGTAAAACAGTAGAACTTGCTTTTTATTGTTGTTAATCGTACCATTCTTGTCTCATTCATCCTCTTTTGCCAAGAAAGATTAGCTTTCTTATCAATACCAGGAGGTTATTAAGCTCGAGTATTGTGGTACTGAAGTCTGAGGACTTACTACCTTTCTGTTAGTTCCCAGGCTGGAATTGCTTGTCTTATAAGAAGACTGAAATCAAATAAAAGACTATCGTAGGAGTTACCTAGCACCAATATGAAACCATGAACGCCTTTGTTTTCCTCAAATTAAAGTAACATTTTTGACGTGACAACGTCTTATAATTCGATGGAGCCGGCTGCACGCACGAAAAAACATGACTCATGCGGCGTTACCTCGCTCTGAGGCGTTCCATTTAAGGCTTGAAGTGCAAGCGAGAGCGCGGAACGAGCGACAAAGAGGCACAATCGGCCTCCGCGTTCGGCAGCGTTCGACATCTGTCTCTCTCCTACTTGAGTGAGCGATGCGTCCGCGTGGACAGCTGCTATACAATAATACATTTCCATTTACCTCCTTCTCTATATCCATACAAAATATCTATCAAACAAATAAAATTAAAATTTTCTTTTGAAAAATGAAACCATTCCATCAGTATTTTCTTACGACGTTGTCACGTTCAACTATCGTCAGTAAACCGACTTTACAGACAACCGATTTTTTTTATTCAACCCTAAAATTGGTAACTATAGGTGGTATTATTTCGCCTGGATTTGCCCGTTATTTCATACAAGAATTGATGAATCTAAATGGGTCGTTCCGGGATTTTTGGTATAATAATTTTTAAATTTCAGACGCTGATATGCGACCCCAACATCCGATCCTGTTCCTTGTTATTATTGGACGGGTTCTCGGCACAACCTGCAATCTCCATTAATCCTTAAAATTTAATAAAGCGCTTCGAACCGCAGTCCGGAGAGGAAACATTTTCCACATATCCCTGAACTGTCGGACAGGGTTCAATCATTAATAAAGCTGCCGGAGATGATGCTCGACATTAGTTTGTACGATGAGCTTTAGAATCGCGGATTATATTAATGAAAGCTCTTCGATTCAAACGAAAAAAATTACGGGAACTGAAACGCCGGTCGTTACATCGTCTGATTCCCGAAGGATTTCAAAATTGTAGGTGAACTAAAATGTACAAATAGCTAACGCTAGCTTCAAGTTAATCGATAATATTTATTCCCCAATCGCTTTGCTTAGTTCTTCTCTTAATAAGGGGAAGCTGCAGGTCAAAAACCAAATATTAGGGTGGCAACCAACCCTTTCCCTTTGATTAGACCTAGCTTTTTGCAGAGAAGTAAAATTTCTACAATTTTATTTACAAAAGCCGGAGAAAAACACAAATTGCTTCAAACCTTTTTACTTATAATTTACAAAAACTTTATATGGCGAATACTTTAACCTACTTAATAACACATGTGTATGTTAGCCTTATTTCTATATTATCTACTGTGATTTATTTGTCACATTTTCGCTTGAATTACGGTGAACTGAATATTAACAAAAGGCCCTAATTCGTCGCCGGATTCCAACTGGTATTGAGACATTGTTTGTTAGTTAAGACATCAAGCCTTCGGCGGTAAAGTTACGAGGCAAACTAAGTTTCGTCTATCAACCGCAACAACGAGTGTAGTTGGCTAAGTCCCGAGCCATCTTGACAGCGAGTTACAGCAAAAAACACAGGCCCAAGGACCGACTTGTTTATTACCAGATTTAAAGTTAAATTAGAAACTTTGTAAAGAAACGTTTGCTTATTCTTACTGACAACATTTAACTTAAAAACATACAGAAGAAATATAATAAATAGATGCATTGATTTCAACTCAAACAAACCTGTTCTCATGTAAAGAGTCAAAAGTTACTGTTCGTTTCAAGAAGTTAGAGATATGCCCCTTCCCTTTATTAGGATGCGCCATAGAATAATTCCAAATTCAATCTTATTTGTCTGCGGAGCTCATTTCTCCACCAATCATCGAACGAGAACTAGACAAAAGTGTACAGTACCATTTGCAGAATTATTTCAACTGCCTCGTTAAAATTTAAGAATATGCTTTATTTAAAAGCATATTTACCCAAAAATAATAAGAACTGAATTAACTTAACGTTCTACACACCTATAAAACTTTTGCTTTGTTTTCTATTGTTAATTTATATACATTTTTGTTTTAAGAAATTGCTAAACTTTTTCGTCTAGTACTGTACAGTTCTAGCCGATCTCCTAAGACCGCCCATCGAGAGCTCTGCTCGTTCAAGCTTGTTCCAACTATTTCTGTCTTGCTCACGCCTAGTGTGTATTCTTTCTATCTTCGCGCAGATTTCTTCAAGGTCACAATTCTAACAAATTGAAATAGACTGTACCTGTGTGTGTTGGAAAAAGTCATGCCACGCTACTATACTTTCATTCTTTGTTTGATTTGTTGAATTGTAATTTTAAACAAAAATCATCACCAATCGATATACCGCAATTCTCTATTAAAAAAAGTATTGATTTGTGTGCTCTACTATCTAAACATAAATCCGTTGATTACGTTTGTTATCCGTATTAGCCAGTTTTCATAGACAGCAGAATTGAGACCAAAAAGAGCTTGATTAAGGTATAATAAAATCAAACAGTGCTCTAAAAAATTCCATCAGTGCTTGCACGTAGCGACCAATTACTATCAACTACGATTCGACCGCCTATCAGCTCGACACTAATTATACCCTTGATTATCTACCCCCTGCTGTCCTTAGTTAGAAGTAATTTAATTTGCCAAATGAGAAAAAGCAAATGGAGTTCGTGTTCAACGGCTTCAAGTGTAAATATGCGAGAATATATATCAAGAGTGTTTTCGCTTTGTATTTCATGGTAAACAAACGAAAATAATTATTTATCAATGATTTTAAGATTGATCGATACCACGAGATATGGATCGCGATTTTGATACAAAATTTTTGTAAGGCTTTCATCGTCATATCATCATAAGGTTGTCAATCCTAAGACTAGTTGGACGCGCACCTCCACTTTTTCCTACCTTGAGTTAATCTTCCTATTTCCCTAACACTAGAACATCCTACAGCTTTAACTATTTGTGAACAGTAATCCAATCTAAGTCTACCTCTACTCCTCTTAACTTCATGCCTGAGAAGATATCCTACCAAATCAAATCAAACATTATTATATGTATCTACAAATAGTAAAAAACTAGAGTATTTGAATTTTCCTTAAAATAAAGAAGGTTATATTTTAAAAATCCTTCCTTTGTTTGAAATATCTTTGGTTTATCATGCGATGAACGTCGATTCCAAATGGATGTTCGAAATATGCAGTGGCGATTAATAAATAATCACATAGTGACAGATTACGCTTGACTTAATCCTCCTTTCTCATTGTTCCAGGATTATATTCAGTTTACACCAACTGGAGGAATATAGAGATTATGTTCCATGTGAGCACTTTACTGCCATACGAGCGTCATGACCCCCAGAAGCTCCAGAGAAAGCGTCACATTGGCAACGATATTGTCTGTGTGGTATTTTTAGAAGCAGACAACACTGCGTTTTCACCTGCCTGCATCAAAAGTCATTTTCTTCACACTTTCATCCTCGGTAAGTAAAACAGTAGAACTTGCTTTTTATTGTTGTTAATCGTACCATTCTTGTCTCATTCATCCTCTTTTGCCAAGAAAGATTAGCTTTCTTATCAATACCAGGAGGTTATTAAGCTCGAGTATTGTGGTACTGAAGTCTGAGGACTTACTACCTTTCTGTTAGTTCCCAGGCTGGAATTGCTTGTCTTATAAGAAGACTGAAATCAAATAAAAGACTATCGTAGGAGTTACCTAGCACCAATATGAAACCATGAACGCCTTTGTTTTCCTCAAATTAAAGTAACATTTTTGACGTGACAACGTCTTATAATTCGATGGAGCCGGCTGCACGCACGAAAAAACATGACTCATGCGGCGTTACCTCGCTCTGAGGCGTTCAATTTAAGGCTTGAAGTGCAAGCGAGNCTACATAATTCGCTTCCACTGGCAAAGGTAAAATTGCTATTTGAGTCCTAGTCAGTAAAACATTTCCATGAAGCAACAAAACCTAAATAAGACTCCTTGAAACCATCTATAAGGGGCCTTATTAAAATGCATGAAGAAACTGTAGCGGTAATTGAGATCAAGAGCCACATATAGGTACTGACACGCCGTGCATTCTACCCGACAAAATAGATGTGGTGATTTTTCGTTCCCTGATTTTACATAGAAACAACTTCAATGCACGTAATAGACCACTCCACAAATATGGGTGCCTATTATAATACGAATGAGCGCTCTCAAAAATAAAAAAAAAAGAATTTCAAAAGAACGGTTCCTCAGTAAATAATCAAGAGGGAAAACGGTTAAAGGTTTAAAGGAAGAAAACAAGTTAAGTACAACATATTTATATAAATAGTCCTTAAAATTGGAGAAAGAAGTTTCTTACTAACTACTGTAGTTTTATTTGTTTTCAACGAATACATGTAGCAGAATTGTCTCTGATTGAGTATGAATGACACATTAGACTTTGAAAGGCGTAAAAAAAATCAATAAATCACGATGTTGCTCCGTTCAAGCAAGATAATTATTGTCAAGCAATTTGCAATATACCGCCATCTACAGATACATATGCAAACTGAAGCATCTCAGTGTTTTACAGAGGTTCTCAGTTGCCAAACTGGATAAGCTTGCAAACCAATTAAATAAAAAGCATTATGTTCTGTTATATTTCGGAAAATTGTTCATGTGCTTTATTTAATTGATTTGCGTGTCAGTCAGTCTGATTTTCTTGAGTAAATGCATTAATACCGTTCAGTTCTGAACGAATCAACCCCAATTAACAATAACTTATAATGAAAATAGTTGATCAATCAGAGCAACTTTCTTTTTTTCCAAAGTTCGAACGTCACCTCGTATAAAACGTCGTCCAACTCGTTACGAAATATCGGTGGTCACAAGGGACGAAGTCGGGGCCTATAAACCTTATTTATGGGAGCAGAGTGTATTCGACAAAGGACCAATGTTCCGCGAATGGCTTCTTACTAAAATAGTCAACGGTGAGCGAGCCAGTTACTCTGCCCCCAAGTTCGCCAGGATGCAGGAAAGGACAAGATCGCAAATGCTCGAGGACATTGTCGCAAATCTTCAAAATCACGCAGAAACCGGACAAATACCGAAACCGTACAGACGAGGTAAGGAAGAATGTTTTATGACAATTAGATATTATAAATAGATATAATTAAATATCTCCATAACTAATCTTGTAATTACATCCAGAGTTCTTGACCGTTCTTGATCCAAATGAATAAAAATTCTCATGAGAATAATAAAAGATAACATTATTTCATTGTTTAGCTAACGTTTCGTTAAGCATGTCTGAGTCTCATCAAAGCTGATTAGGTAGCTTAAAGTTAGTACATCGTAAAAACTATCACTTTATTCATCGCCATAACAACAACAACCTAAAGAGGCCAAACGGTACAGATGTAGGTTTCCCTTAGAGTCCTCGAATAAAAAATCTCGCGTACCTGTACTGATATATCAAAGACCCAAAAAGGGAATTTTTGTCACGCCTACACATAAAGTTTACTCTTTATGAAAAGGCAAACATAATTATGAATGAAATGTATTATCTGTAAGTAGAGATACAGGTATTAGGTTTCCTCGCAATAACGTCTTTTCTGAAGTTGCACTGCACTGCTATCGAGATTAAAAGTGGATCTTTTGTCCACTTCACAGGTTCGTGGAGACCAATAGGGCACATGCGACCGTCGTCGCCTTTGTTGGACAGCGTGCGCGATCAGTTCGAAGATTACGATCAACTAGCCAAGGATTTCACTCGCGCCTTCCTCAACACGGAATCAAACACGTTGGCGAACGCTCAACTATTCGATATCGTTTTCTTAGTCGGACAATCAAAGCAGAAGGTACGTAATCTACTACATCTCCAATAATGATCACTGAATGTTTTTAAACCTATGTACTTCAACCATCTCTCATGTCGTAGAGATTATTAACTCTTTAAAAATGACGCTAAAAAGGAAATCCTTGCTCCTTTACAAGGATTTATAGGGTAAATAACAAGAAGAATTCATTTAGCACAAAAATTATCATCATCATAAGGTCGTCAGTCCTAACACTGGTTGGACACGCACCTCCACTCTTTTCTATCCGGAACTGATCTTCGCATTTCCCTAAAACTAGAACAACCCACTTCCTTAATTATTTGCGAACAGTAATCTAATCTAGATCTACATCTACTTCTCCTAACTCCTGTTTCTGCCTCCAATATGTCTCTGACTAGACCTTCATGTCTGAGAAGGTGTCCTACCAACCTATCTCGCCTATTTCTTATTGACTTCCATATAGTCTTCTGTTCTCCTATTCTTTCTAATACCTCTTCATTACTAACCTTCTCTATCCACGGTATCCTCATCATTCGGCGGCAACACCACATTTTTTTTCCTTAAACTAGCTCGAAATTCCGTTGGTCCCTTCGGCATGCCCGACTCCATTGTTTTAGACTGCTATATAGTTATGCCAATATTTAAATTTTTACATGATGGAGACATGTTGTTAGCTTTCCTTCACAATTTTCTGCTACCCCTTCTGGCCGCATATTTCACTAACATCAGGCATTCATAGCTCTGATTGGAACAAAAAGATAAAAAGCATTTTCTTCTTCAATTTTTCATGATGGATATTTGAATTTTCCAAGATGTTATTTGAAACCAAAGAGAAACTCGCTTCGAGATTTGATTCATTGATTCATCAATGTTATATGTTGTATTCTTAGGGGTGTGTTCGTGTATGTGTGTGCTGGAGCATTTTTAAATTCGTTTTAGCAGTAAAGAAAGACCGTTATGTAAATATGAAATGTAAATGAATCACACCCCATTCTATTATTCATAATACAAAAGGATCGTTGGCAAACAATTTCACCTCTCTCGCTTCCTTTTTAACTACTGTCCCGCTCTTTCGTCATTCAGATCGGATCCCGACCCATTTCACGTACATATCTACTGGCCCTTTTTTCTCATAAGAAACTGGCAAATGGGAAATTCTTTTCCGCCTGTTTTAGGCTTCATTGTTCGCGTTATTTCTCTTAATAAAAATTTGTTAAATTCATATATCACCCAGACACTCGAATTAGAAAACTCTCTTCTCTTCAAGAAGACGCAGCAAAAAAATTGTCAAAGCTGTTAGAAGGGTTCAAATTAGTTAGATGACGTAGAAATACAAAAAATAAGGGACAATAATCTAATGTTATTAGCCAAGGCAGCGACCTAAACCTTTTAAGACAGTAATACATTCCAGACAACTTTGCAGACTCGTCAACACTCTTGCAGCGAGCAGAACTCTCCGTATTCCACGTCTATCATGCATTGAAACCAGAACACACAAAGAAGGACCTGGTTGCATGTGGGATTGTCCAATTTTATAACACGTACCCATTTGGGGGTACCCTATCTAGTATAATGCTTGCCATTTGTTTTACAAGGGTTTTCTAAGACTTCCTTTCTATTCATTGACATTCGATTTTAAAACATGGAATTTTATATATTTTTTACAAGTACAGTCGAGCCTTGGAGCCCTAGTACTAGGCCAAAATGAAACTTAAATTTTATACTTTGACTACAACCGAAATGCGTGCATGTTGGTCAAGAACTAGTTTATCTTTCTTATCAAGGGCTGAATTATTAACCCCCAAAGAGGCATGCGTCATAAAATCGGAGAACAACAAACCAGAAACTGTCACCCTGTCTATGATAAAGAATCACAAAGAAGTATCTATTCGCTTCGAATATTAATAGCATTTTCTTCTCGTAGGTAAAGTTCATAGGCGTCCGTGCGATTTTGGGAGTTCGAAGCAGGGTATTTCAAGAAATGCTCTACGGCATTCAAACTGGATTCGGTTCACCCCAAGTGCCAGTGGCCGAACTATTAGCAAGGCCCGTTCCCACCCTTTTAAGTCCCCAACAGTCCAGGCCCAAGAGCAGTAATTTCCTGCAGGTCCCCGACATAGAATCGCCCCGACCGAAAAGCGTTCCCAATTCTCCCATGGTGAAGAGAGCTTTCTCCAGACTGGGCACCATCACCGCCGGATGGGGCAAGTCAATGAGGAAGCAGCACACACAACATCTCACGCCCGACGACAAAAAGAAATGGTCCAGCAGTCAAGATTGTTCGGGTAAGTGAAAACAAACAGAAACAGATAAATATTTTCAACTTCAAATCATCATTATCACATCGATTAAATTATTCATTAGACTTTGTGTGACTTTGAACCGTCGCTTTCGCTTTAGTTGTCAGTCCAAATTGAGTTGCTAACTCATCAAGAAATGAAGCATTTGGAAATGTGAGAACAAGATGAAATCAACCATTTGACGCGGAATTTCCCGAGTTTCTAAACTTGCCTAATTTCTACCTTCATCATTATCAAAGTTAGCTCAAATTATCTTTAGGAAGAGGCAGAATCTGATGTGAAATTATAGGAAAGATAATGCTTTAATGGAATTATTTCAAAACTTAATTTAACAACAAATGATAAAACCAGAAATGATCAAATCACTGTGATTGTATATTAGGTTTCCATAAGCTGACCTTTATGTTCTTTAAATATCAAAGAATATCAATCTATACGTATTCAAATGAATTAACATTGTAATGTAAAAAGGAATACAAAAGGAGCAGAATATGAAACACTAGGTAGGTTGTCGTATAATTTTCACACAGCAAGAGGTACATTTGAAGTTGTTTGTAGCACAGCAGTGGTATACCTCAAAACACCACGGGGATTTATGTGTGTAATGTGTTTCACTTTAGTAATAGTTACCGTAGGAAGCGTGCAAATAACAATTGATATAAATTACTCTTTCACGCCGCTTTATGAGACATAACAATCCTGAGAAATCTTTAAAAAGCAACCGCGCCAACCCCAAAACTAAATTGCATTTATCATCATACGTACACCTAGAGATTACACGGCACCACAATTTCCTTAAATTTTTACAACTAATTTATTTCACCTCATTTATCGTTTGCCACCCTGGTGCCTATTGCACAATCCCAGAGATGTATTTGCCGCTTCATCTTTACAAATTTGTAACTGGAAAATGTTCTTTAGGTCAATCTTAAATTGCACAACTTTGTGATTTATTCCGAAAAATGACTTCAAAGTTAGTCAAAGTGATATGGAATGTTCCATACAACGTCAACTGCACTAATGGATGGTGTTCCACCTAAGGTGATTTCGTCCACAACTCTGTTATTATACTCCCAGTAAAAACAAAAGTTCTTATAAAAGTGGTCTAAAATCATATGGTGTATATCCAGAAAGTATTTCCAATCACACGAGGTGCTCGATTTCTTCTGGACGCTACCTAACTTTGTTATTTTAAGAGAAACACCCTGTATATTTATACATTTTTGATTTCTTTTTAGACCGACTTTATTAGCAGTTCCCTGCGTCTATCTCTAGTACTTTTTCAGATATTCAACTGGTTTTGAAAAAACAATACGATTTCAGCTATTTTCATGAGAAAACAATTTTTTGGGTGTTTCATTCCCACCAGCCACTAATGCTGGTGGGCGGCCAGTCCCTCTGGACTACGCCAGAAGGTAGGGCGGAAGGCCCTCTTCAGCCTCATTTCAGAAATCGTGGGAATGGGTGAGTGGTGGTTCGAGTGAGAAAGATGAGACAGAAGAGAAGACAAAAGAGAATGAAAGATTATCTGTGGAATATTACTGCCCATGCAATTGCCTAAGTGATCCAAAGAAACCACAGAAAAACTTGGAGACAGACGGACCCGGAATCGAACCGGCGTCCACCCGAATGCTAAGCAATGGTCTAAACCTCTAGGTCATGCCGCTCGGTATTCATAAGACCAAATAGCATCTAAACCACAGAAGATACAAAACCTGGGGTTTACACAGTTTGTTTTAGCACGAATTACCGTATCTTTTTTGCTAAGGGCAAAATGTGTACGTTATTCACAACCGGAACTATCCTGAACTGATCTTCGCAATTTTCCTAAAACTAGAACAACCCACATCCTTAACTATTTGCGAACAGTAATCTAATCTACGTCTACCTCTACTCTTCCTAACTCCCGTTTCTGCCTCTGACTAGACCTTCATGCCTGACAAGGTGTCCTATTAACCTATCTCGCCTATTTCTTATTGCCTTCGTTAGAGTCCTCTGTTCTCCTATTCTCTCTGATAGCTCTTCATCTCTCGGGCCAACGGATTTCACTAGAGCCTACTATCTATATCTAATTCTAATCTATTCATCTCAACTTTTAAATATTCTAATTTCTCTACTTGCCTCATTGTCCTAACATTCCACGCTCCGACTCGTGAAATATTGCACCTACTCCTATTGCACTTATTGATGACATCCTCCAAGGTAGTCCCCGCCCTGACATCCGAATGGGGGACTAGTTTACGTCCGGAGTGCTTTACCCCAGAGGAAGCCATCATTTTAGTTTGGTGTATTTTACTTGGGATACCATAATGTGGTGGTTTCCCGTTTTTCTTATTCATTTGTTACAAAAAAAAACAGACACAAGGAATAATTTTAACTACCAAAATTGACCATTTGTTCCCGTGAAAAGCGAGAGGGTTGAGCAAGAATGTCAAAGAAATTTGTAATTTGTAATTCACAGTAGGTACCTTCAATTTGTATTTATTAAATTCTGGAGATTGTTTCAAAACAATAAAACGCTTCAATCCCCATTTACGTTATTCACAACCGGAAATATCGAAACCGACTTTTGACAATCTTACAAGACGAATAACTTTTTTCTTCCAACAGAATGACGATATTTAAAGATACCGTTCGATGCAAAATTAAAACCCTTTTCTGCTGATACAAAATAACCACAGGGGCCTTGAAAGAGGAAAACATAATTCTTTTTAAGTAAGAAGACTAACGTGACGAAGACACCACAGTCCCCTATATTTAATTAACTGTTTGTTTTCGTCAAAATGATATGTAAAGCGTGTTACCTACTGTCAATTTAGACCTTACGAAAAACAGTAAAAATCGGTCGATTTTGAATTCAAATCAAGCAGCAGCATTAGATGAGTAGGTACAAACAATTTCCGTAATGGCAAGTTGTAAATTAAAACCGGATTTCCTAACGTTCAGCCGCAAGATTTATCCGTCGACTGCAAAGTCCTTTAACGCTGTCGTGCGAATAGTATACACGGTCTCGTTCTGGCTTTTACAAATCCGAATTTTCAAGCGAATCGAGATTAGAGCGAGCTGCGAAAGCCGTGCACTACCTTTTTGCGCTCGCTGACTGGTTACAAACGAACGAAGTGCCGAAACGGTCGCGTTTTACAGTCACTATACGTACACGCAACCCCAGCTTAATTACTCTTCGAACTGCTTGCTTTGCTTCTTTATTTCCGTTTTCCTTTCGTTTCTCTCAAAGGAAAAATCATCCGGAAACCAGTGGCGTGTTGCGGCGCGAATGATGTAAAAATTTATGGCAGGAACGCAGCGTCTACCACCTTGGATGATATTTCAAAATGTCAAATCCAATGTTGCAGTAATGTATCTCGACGTAGTTCTGACATTTTAACCGATTTCAGAAAATTTTTGTATATCCATCTTTATTTATTTATGTCATCATCATAAGGTCGTCAGTCCTAGCTCCTAGGACTAGTTGGACATGCACCGCCACTCTTTCCTATCCTCAGCTAATCTTCGCATTTCCCTAAAACTGGAACGTCACATCCTTAACTGTTTATGAAGATGCTGCTTCTTATATTTCTATGACTACCCCTTCATGCTTCATAAGGCGTCCTACCAACCTATCTCCCCTATTTCTTCTTGACTTCCATTGATTTCATCATCGTATCATCATAAGGTAGTCAGTCCTAGGATTGGTCGGACACGCACCTGAGCTCTTTCCTATCCTGAACTGATCTATCATTTCCCTAAAACTAGAAAAAAAATAACTTGGGTGTTTCATTCCCACCAGCCAGTAATGCTGGTGGGCGGGCAGTCCCTCCGGACTACGTCAGAAGGTAGGGCGAAGGGCCCTCTTCAGCCTGCTTTCAGGAATTGTGGGAATGGGTGGGTGGTGGTTCGGGTGAGAAAGTTGAGACGGACGAAATGAAGACAGAAGAGAATTAAAGATTATCTGCGGAATATTACTGCCCCAGCATTTGCCTAAGTGATCCAAGGAAACCACAGAAAAACTTGGACCAAGGCAGACGGACCGGAATCGAACCGGCGTCCTCCCGAGTGCTAATCAATGGTCTGAACCTCTAGGTCATGCCGCTCGATCCTAAAACTAGAACAACCCGCATCCTTTTCCGAACAGTAATCTAATCTGGGTCTACCTCTACTTTCTCGTTGTTCTAAAGTCACCCTAAAGTCCCGTTTCTGCCTCTAATATGTCTCTGACAAGACCTTCATGCCTCTCAAGGTGTCTTATTAACCTATCTCTTCTATTTTTCTTATTGCCTTCCATAGAGTCCTCTGTTCTCCTATTCTCTCTAATACCTCTTCATCTCTCGGGCCAACGGATTTCACTAGAGCCTACTATCTATATCTAATTCTAATCTATTCATCTCAACTTTTAAATATTCTAATTTCCCTACTTGCCTCATTGTCCTAACATTCCACGCTCCGACTCGTGAAATATTGCACTTATTGATGACATCCTCCGAGGTAGTCCCCGCCCGGATATCCGAATGGGGGACTAGTTTACGTCAGGAGTGCTTTACCCCAGAGGACTTCATCGTTTTAGTTTGGTGTGTTTTTACTAGGGATAACATAATGTGGTGGTTTCCCGTTTGGTTTTCTTATTGATTTGTCACAAAAAAAACAAATACAAGCAATAACTTTTGCTACCAATATTGAGCATTTGTTCCAGTGAAAAGCGAGAGGGTTGAGCAAGAAAGTCAAAGGAATTTGTAATTTGTAATTCACAGTACCTTCAATTTGTATCTATTAAATTCTGGAGATTGTTTCAAAACAATAAAACGCTTCAATCCCCATGTACGATGTCACTACTGAGGGTCCAAACGCGGAGCATACTATGGAACAATAGTTCGAACCGTGGTCGTAAACAATTTCAATTTCGCTAAAACAACGACGAAGGACGGACGGGCTAATGAGAAGTTCATTAAAATCCAACGCTCTTAATTACTACCTATTCGGGAAGTTCTACAAGTATTTTAACAGAGCGTGTATTTTCGCTGTGAAGAAGCCTCTCAAACTCCATACGCCTTCATCGGAAATATCTTGGTTATGCAATAAAGGATTGTTTGGAAGTTCTCGACAAACTGCACTTGACGAAGTGCTCGTCTCATCGGCCCTTTGTACATAATTTCGGAACTGTGGCAAACTTGACTGGATCCACTTACGGCTAAATTACTATCGATCAATCTATAATCGTAAATCATTATTCAACTTTAACTAGATGTTACTTATGCCTCGTTCACTAATTTTACATCAGTTTTGCGACACTTTGTCCTACAGTCTATTTTAAACAACGTAGAATGTCAATACCTTTACTAATTTGATAAATAGTTGACCTACAGAAATACTACTTCCGAATTGCTTATCAGTAGGTAGATGCATGCAATGCAAATCTGATAGAATCTTGAAATCACTGACTTGAATTTGCTTTGTACCTCTTCACACTTGACTTTAAAGAAAACGGGCATAAGCCTTCTCATAATAAGTCTTGCATTGTCTAAATCTCTTAACTCCTGAGATTAACAGCCTAATGTAACCAGAGATTTCTTGCAAGCTATTAATAGTCAATAATTTGCCTTGTGTAGAAATTTACTATCGCTTCCTTTATAGAGAAAGATGGTAAAGACAAAGAAGGCAAAGAAAGGCCAAACGTAGCTCAACTGCCAGTTCCACGATTAAGTGTTTGCGCAGATGCCCAAAAGGTGGACAGGGCGAAACTGGCGCAGACCGAATTTTCGATAATCGAATTCGATCCGGACACGTTTCGTATTCTTCTCGACTATCTTCACACTGGTTCCTGTCCACTGACGTGCGCCACAATACCTGGGCTTATTTGCGCCGCTGAACACTACGATCTACCTGAATTACTCCAAGCCTGCTTCCATCATGCGAAACAGTTCCTCAGGATAGAGGTGGTATGTACATTATTTTTGACAAAGCCATTTCTATTTTTACCAGAAGCCCTGAACTTAATGCTAATTTCTTTTTCGTTGTGTAAAGATAGTTAATGAATACATTGCAGCAAAGATTTCAGGCAATAATTAATCGTAAAGTGGATAAAACCAAATAATTGGCATAGGTCGCCATCTACAGTTATTTACTACTAACTGCAGCATTTTATAGTGTTTGACAGGACTTTACAAATGCATCTGTTTATTGGTCTTTATTTTAGTTTGTGTACAAGCTACGTCCAAGACTGAGTTTTGCAAATAGATAGTTTTCAAAGACCTCGGCAAACAGCGGTAAATAGATATAGATGGCGTTCTACTGTCAGTCCCTTAATATTCATCAACTTGTTTGTTACAGAATAACTTCGACTTGGTCGGAGATTTATCGAAATTACGTATAGTGTAGTGTACTGATTACCTACTACAGTTCTGAATCTCCATTAATGTTTAGGTATTAAGTTTTTTGTCAGAATAGTCTACATATAATGACTTTGAAAATAGAAGAAGCTTTAAACGGAATTAAATTCGTAATTTATTTCTCCATCAAAAATTAATCATTATATCCCATAAAGTGAATATATGTCTATTCTATTNAAAATATATATATTTAATCAATATACTAAACAGTACAACATAGGGACTAAAATATCAAATAAATCGGGGAGATATGTACAGGTACTAACCGAGACAATGACTTTGAAAATAGAAGAAGCTTTAAACGGAATTAAATTCGTAATTTATTTCTCCATCAAAAATTAATCATTATATCCCATAAAGTGAATATATGTCTATTCTATTACTTAAAACTTCATGAATGTTGTAACAAGAAACTTTTGACTTGTTGATTATATGTACGTACGAACCAACTGTCTCGGGCTTCATTTTGTGTGAGCGAAACTCAGGACGACATCTAATCCCGTGCACACAAAGGGATGAGATGTAGTAGTATTAGCGTCGTTTCGCTAAATGAGCATTATTAATCAGGGGAAAATTCCATCCTCGCCGAAAACCGTTTAACAGTACAAACGGTTTCTTGCAGGTGTGCTGTATGTTGGGCTCGTTGGAAAATTACTATTGGAGATACACGTCCGCCTCGGAGTTGGTGAACATGATCCTTGCCTTCGTTGAAACTCGAGCGTATGCATTATTTCAAACTACTGAATTCTTAACGCTCAGCGAGTCCATGGTACAAATGATAATGTGCCGGTATGTAACATATTTACCACTCTAGTTTTATTTTTAGCTTCTGGTTAGTATTACACTTGAATCACCCTTTAGCTTTGCAATAACAGAACACATTATCAAAAAACTAATAATGATTCTTGGCCGCAATTATTAAAGGAGTTTAACACTTTCGTGGCCATTAATATAACTACTCGCAGGGTCATATTATTTAAAGTTGTCTTCCAAATCTATATTATTATTAGAAGTAATTAAAATGTTTTTATTGGTAAATCAAGTTCGTGCAGTTATCAAACCGACTCCTAAATGTCGAAGTTTTGCATCACGTTAATATTTTTTGTAGATTTTTTAGAAAAAACATTGCTCCAAAATCCTTCCTAGTATTTTTTCGTCAAATAAAATATTAAAATATTCCTATGGAAGATCAACATTAAGATGATTTCGTTAGTGTTGCGATATGGTAATACTTATTAGTAGCATAAAAAGTGCCTTACTATTTTTCTACTGTCGATTAGTTTCTGATACATCGTATTTTTAGGAATTTGGAAGTTCCAGAGATCAGGAAGTTCGAAGCGATGTTAAACTGGGCGAAACATAAAATAAAAACGAAAACTTCTAGCAAGTTGGACGCCAAGTTGGAATTCAAATGCATTATGGAACGGTTAGCACGCGATCTGAAACTTTACAGGATATCGCCGCAAGAACTGATAAAGGTACGGCTTTAAAATACCAATCGATTTAGATGTTTTAAAATCATATACAGATCGAAACATTTACAATCAAGAATATTGTACTAAAACACTGTTAAAGAAGTCAACAAATTTGTAAGCTTCTGCAAATTTAATTGCACTTTTTGTCACGATCTTCTTCCGCGTATTACGATAATGTCACATGCAAGAAATATTTTCATACATCTTTCCTCAAATATATAATTAGTTAAATAAAAGAGGACCGCAGATAGTCTCTTGCGGAACACCAGTTTCTAACCTCAACCGATACTGTCATGCGTCATTCCTGTCATTTGTATCTTTTGTTATGTTCAATCGCGAATTATTTAGTAAACTTTTCGAAAAAAACGGTCAAATGTGCACGTTTCTTTTACCTATTTCTTCCAGATTGTTCTGCCATCGAAGGCGATCAAAAACGAGAGGATATTGGAAACGTTAATGTTTCAAGCCAACTCGGGCATGTATCGCATCCAAGACTCTTATATAAAAGAAGCAACGCAAAGACTGCAGAAACAAGACTCAAAATTTTCTGAATGGGAATCGTTCGACTACAGTGCGTAAAAAAAGTAAATCCGTGACACCACAGACAATCATCAACAAGTAGCAATTAAGGCATGCGACACGACACGACACGACGCGGCGCGGCGTGGAGTGCGCTAAATTACATAATAAGAAAGAAGTTAATAAACAAGAATTAATTAATTAATTAATAATTACTTATATATTTATGGTCGCGACATGTAGCAATTTGTACGTACCTAATACATCTATATGTGTGCGTGTGTGTGATTGCAGGACAATCTAATCGGGATATAAGTGTTTGCCTTTTGTGTAAAAATTTTTAAATGGCGTCATTTTTACTGTAGATGCGTAGATCGGGGTGGAAACGTTCAAACGCGCATTTATTACAGTAACGTGCTGGAAACGTTACAATAATAATAATAATAAAATTACATAAAGGGAAAATGCAATCAGGCAAAACTATTGCCTTCTATTTTTATAAAATCAGCTGCAATTTATACCTTCTTCCCTTTTGTGAACTTAAAAAGTGTGCAAGATACTGCTACTATTAATATTTTACACCAACAAATGTTTAATATCGTATTAAATTATTCTCTGGATAGAAATATTACCTTTTGTATCTTAATAATATAATATTGTTGAAATTTTGGTATGTTGTACATCTTAAAGTGGTGACTAAAAAAACATAGAAATATATGCTGGGTGGGAAATCATTTCTTCACATAGTTTTCGAGGTTTGAAAAAAGTTAGTAGTAATACAACCCAACCCGAACCATAACCAACCAAATCGATCAAAACTAAGGGTTCTTTTTTTGGTGTTCTCGTTGTCGTATACATATTTTATTTGTTTAGAGCAATTTAAACAACAAAAAGAAGGTTAATTTGGTTAGCTATAAATTGGATTAGGTTGTTATATTTACTGTATTCAAACGTGAAAAATATATATATTTAATCAATATACTAAACAGTACAACATAGGGACTAAAATATCAAATAAATCGGGGAGATATGTACAGGTACTAACCGAGACTAACATGTATGGGTCGCGCAAAGACAACCGGCATTAGGGCGTACTTCATTTGCAGCGATCATACACGGTCACTGGCGTTTGAAACACGCACTCTTTCATACCACCCCACGTAAAGAAGTCAAGCGGATTCAGATGAAGATTACGCGCCAGCCAAGGTACAGGATCCGTACTAGAAACTCACGCATTGAGCATACAATAATACTATTGTACACTGACCTATGACACTAACACACTGTCAATGACTTCGACTAACTACATGCATGCAAGCTTACAATGTTAGACGAACAAAGAATTATTGTAGACTGACTGACTAACATAAACGTTGTACAATGAGTTGGCTTGTTTTACTTACTTTATTCAGACCTCAAAAATATATTTTTGGTCAATACGCTGAACTGTACAACATAAATATTAAAATGTAAAGAAAATGGGAGGTGAGTATAGGTACTAATAAACTTCTTTTTAAATTATGTAAATGCAACTGTAACGAAAACTAATTTAAACGAAAACATGTGTAATATATAAAAAAATGACACGCATGAAGTCTGAAGTTTCCACTTTGGTCTACTTTACCTCTGCCTTTAATTGTTGCGACTCTTTTATGTATATACTTATTGTGTAAAATGATCGTATTATCGCTGCTTAATATTGTGATATGAAAGCTCAAAATCAAAACAGATCATTAAGCAGTTTTGTTTCAATAAATCTTTATCGTAGGTACGGATCAGCCTAAATAGATTTTATTAAGTTGTTTACTCAATAAACATAATTAAAAAAAATTATAATCACAAAAACAATCGTACTAATTTAATAATAATGAAACAGTAATACTACAGTAAATTATGTTATTAATTCGCAACATGTTTCTCAAAAGAAGATAAAATTTATTAGTGGAGCTTATAAAGCTTTCACCGCTTTTAAAATTAAACTTGTTTAAAAAAAATGTACATTTTGATAATAGCCAAGGTAAACTTTAACTACACGGGATGTCCACGCCTCAAAGAAAACCTTTAGAGGGAGGTTTCTCTCATCCGTCAAAAATGATGAGAGGCGTAGTTAGGCCGATCGCCGACGGCTTCCTGCTAAAAAGCATTTTAACCTATTTTCAAATTTGGACAAGCAAAATTTCTACTTTTACAGTGTACAATCGGAGGCGGGACTAATAAGGTGATGTATGCAATGCACTTTGCATCGGGGGGGGGGGCGCAAATGGCCCCGTTCCCAGAAAGGCGTTCAAAGCTTTCATATCACATGATTACAAAGTACCTGTGTTGTAAATAATACTCGACAGGTTATCGCTGACCCTGTCTGTAAAAAGACTTGCTGTTAAATACATACGTGTTCGATGTTAAATTTTTAAGACGCAGAGCAACAAGTGTTTGTAAAACTATAAAATACGGGCGGCCCAAAAACGATTTCAACAAGACGGTCACACAAGGCACTGCCCCCCGATTTTTGTAGCATTACCAACCCCCCCTCCTTCCCAGGAACCATGAATATACCCGAACACCGAATGAAGTTAAAAGAGCAGGTCATTGCGTGGCAAAAGCGATCAAAATGAATAGAAAAGCCTAAGGTGACCATAAATTAGGTTATGATTTCTCATTTTAACTGCTTTTACTAAGTAATATCCTCATTTTTTTTTTAATTTCCTTCGGATTTCAAGCATATTCGTGACTCCCCCTGCACGTGCTACCCTCTATGCCTCTATACTACTCCTCACACTATCACTGACCTCTCTCAGGGCAGCACCACGCACACGTCAAAGTTCAAGTCGTCTTTGGACCGCTCAATATATTTTCATTACATTATAGATAGATCAAATGTTACCGTTTTTTATACAAACAAAAAAACTGTGGACGGGTCTAATAAAGAGTAAAAGATAATATATATTGTAAATGGCAGAGGATTTATTTCAAGTTGATAAGTGTCTTATCGATTACTGAACAGTTAAAAAAAATACAAATACACCATAATAAGCGATGTTGTAAGAATGTTCTCTGTTAAAGTGTAGTTTACCTTTTTTATGTACCGAAAACGCTATTCCTTCGATTATTATTACCAGCAACGTTACAACTCCAATATTTACCTAAATTTTTATATTGTGCTTACTTGAATATCTTTATCCTAAATACTTCAATATAATACTTCCGTCCTATTTACCAATTCACGTACCCATTATTATTATTATTATTGAATATGTTTAAGGTAAGTCTGATTGGCAGTTCTTTTCGATGAAATCAAAATAATATTTGGAAAAATTAGACTACTATATGGTACCTCCTCGCATAATGTTGATGCCTGTGTTATATTGTATAATAATGATGTTATATTTATATAAAAATTTAAACATTGTCTACTTTATATCGCGTTAACTCGTGAGATAATGCCTTAAATCTTTTCAAACTTCCAAAAGAATTGGAAGAATATACATGCGTCTAAACCGTTTGGATTTAGGTACGAAAGAATCATTATCAAAAAAAGGTCAAATTTGTTGTAAAAAATGTATTTAAAGAGTAATGACATATGTAAAAAAACACCAACCTTCTTTAGATCTTTTTACGAAAATCTTTCTCATGGGGGATGTAACTTTTGCCATACTGTACTGGAGTTGTGACATATTATTACGTATTATTATAATATTGTAACAATGTTTCAAATGTTAAGCTTTATGGACAACTGTGACCCTATGCGGTTGTACAGAAGGCTTTTCTAAAATTTTTAATTTTATTCTTCGACAAGAAAATAAAATTGTCTCGCAAACCTTCTTTCATTATTATTATTATTATTATTGTTCCCTTTGTCCAAAACATTTTTTGTAAGGTTATTGCCGTTTTTGAACAATCAAAAAAAGGTAGGTAGTCGTGGAATTTGTGCAAAAACATCCCTCCAAAAGCTAATGAATTGTATAACGTATTTGTTTAATTGTAATAGTAAACATTTCGTAATGAATGACAGGATCCTTACTTGCCGGTACCAATGGCTGGCCAAATGAATAAAGCAACTACATTGTAGTACATTTTGTTAAATTTTTGTCAATACTTATAGGTAAATCTATAACTAACTTTGTTAAAAGGTTCTGAGATAGTTTTATGTTCATAAATACCTTGAGTTGTTTGCGTCAATTTCGTAATTATTATCTGGAAAATCCTGATGTTTTGATACTCGGAACGAGGAGTTTTTGGTCCACAAATTAAACACAGTATCTATTTGTAATTGATTGTGAACTCCACAAATCAACTGATAATGAATACAACGTTAAGGAAGTTTTTGTTTTTATCACGATATCAGAAAAAAAGCACAACGTAATCCGAATTAATTCAACCGACACCACGCTTTTCTTACAAGTTCTACTGGTATTTGCAAGCTTGATTTCATCGACTTTTCTCGGCAGAGATCGCGCCATCGAGAAAAGATAAGAAAACTGTTCGTGGCACGTATTATTATACTAACAAAATTAAATACATATTACTAGAAAACACGNCATATATCATAATCCAGGAGATGCTGGCATCATTCATTTATATCATTCGAATTTTAAATCCTTTACAGATATAAAGCAGCTTAAAATATCCCATCTCAATCTACTACTATTCCTAATGCTGATTTCTGTTCAGACATATACACCACGCTTTTCTTACAAGTTCTACTGGTATTTGCAAGCTTGATTTCATCGACTTTTCTCGGCAGAGATCGCGCCATCGAGAAAAGATAAGAAAACTGTTCGTGGCACGTATTATTATACTAACAAAATTAAATACATATTACTAGAAAACACGGGAAATCGGAATACTGGATCTGAATTATTTTCTTTCCGGGTATATATTGTACAAATCATTTTCACAAACAATGACAGAAATTTATTGATATTTTTCGTCGATTTTTAGGATGGAAAAGTAAATTATACTTTCTTCCTTACCCCTTATTCTAAGTAAATAATAAAATATCTAAATATAGTTCTTCATAAATACACCAATTCGGGTTTAGAAGAGACGAGAGGGCAGGTGAAGTCATATTAACTTAAGTATATTAATTGAGGAAACGTTAGAAAAAAGAAGAAACCTCAGCAAGATAAAATGAAAGATGTTAAAAATATTTAAAGATGTAGGGATGGAATCTAGTTGTAGAAGAGTAATATATTTATAGCTTATATAAATAGCAACAGGTAATTATAGAATTTGAGAGACATGGTAGAGAAGTAAATATTAGGAAGGGAGTTAGCCAAGAATGAACATGACCACTTCCGCTATCTTTTAAATTATATATCGAAGATGCGATTAATATTATTCAAAACAGGCTACCTTAGGGTTGTAGATACTGAGACAAAAGATTAGCATGCCCAGATTTACGCATGACAAAACGTTATTTCAAGATCTAGCAAGGAGGAGTTAGAGCTAGCAAGTGGTATTGACAGAAGAGTTTGATATGAAGATTAATAAAATTAAAACAAAAATATTGCTATGTCATAGATGTAAAGGTAGGGTTGAAGATAATATAAAAATGAGAGACGATAAACTACAAGGAGTCACTTTCTCGATATTTAGAGAGTCAGCTAACTTAAAATAGAAAAAGCGCTAGAGATATAGAACAAAGAATATGACAGAGTAGGGCTGATTTCAACAAAAAGGTTGGTAGGACATCTCAAACATAAAGAGCTAGTTAGAGACATATTAGAAGCAGAAACAGGTGTTAAGTGGATTAGAAGTAGAGCTAGACCAATTGAATGAAAACAAATAAACTTAAAGTTAAGAAAGACTGATACTTTTTATAAAAAAAACGCATCAGACTCATGTGACATCAATATCCTGATTTATATCAACTTTAGGATCTATTACACTTGAATATAGCATTACTACCCCAAGAAAAACCTTAGAGGCAGCACCTACCATTTCTTGAAGTTAATTAGACAGTTGGACTGACCATTAATCTTTAGCAACTGACAGTTTGCTAGGATTTCTTCTTCGTTTTTAACCTTTTTCTAGTTTAAGAAAGCCTAACAGCTTATTACTTCAGAGTACCAAAAATGAATTTTAATGTTAATAGCAATTAAGACGTCAAAAGTACCATGCTTCTTACTTCTGATAAACGAACTCCATCATAATTTAAATTTAAATGCCTAATACATGGTAGGTGCTGCCATCAATGTATTCCACAGTGATAAACTTTTACTAACACAACAATTCTTTACCCATGAAGAGTTACCATTAATTTACATCAATCAAACTTCTAACTACTGATTCTTCTGGGTCAATTGTAGGTAACTTTTTGGTACAATCTTATTAAAATTTCCGTCTTTATCTTGTGTGTTTACGGAAAAAATGTAGGTACTTATTGTATGAATTACATTTTACTCTGATGCGTACCACCAATAGGTAGTAGTACTCTCTAAAACTGTAATAATATATTTGCAGTTTATTCATCAGTTTACATTGCACATCCCATTAAATTTTTAAACTATAGAACTTTCGCTGGCTATCTGGGATAAGCCGGATAAAACCCTAATTCTTAAACTTGTGTTCTCGTTCGTGTTTTTGTAATGGTTTAATATTTTCCCAAAGTCTCCTTTATTATCTCAAAATCAATTATTATCAAAGGCATAACATTCGAGTTTCTTGTCTATTTTCTAATTGCATGTTTACAATCTGATGGACTATTTTAGTACATTGGATCGTAATTTAATTCTTCTCCAGCATTCTTTTTGGCAAATATCTTTTATTATTTTATTACAGGTTTTCTACTTTGGCCTACAATCCAAAAGTTTAATTTTTAAAGACAACAACTTTTCTTGAAATTCCTAATAGGTAGATATCTACATATTTTTATGAATCTTGAAGCAGTTTAGCGTTCAACGTATAGGTAGGTACCAACATTCAAATCATGTTTTATTTGCAAATTTATTCTATCAGTTATTTAAGTCCATGGTCTTCCTTTTTATTAAATTACTAACAGTTTTACTTGCCAGCCTCCCCATCAAATCACCTCGACTCCAAAGTTCTTCAACTTCATTTTTTTACCTCACTAAATCTTCAGAATTATTCCTAATTTTAAAGTTCTTACAGGTTTAAAGCAGCTTCAAATATCCCATCTCAAACTACTACTATTCCTAATGCTGATTTCTATCCTGTTCAGACATATCCACTATATATGAGTTTGTGGATGTATCCAGCAGATGCTGCTTCTAACATTTTTCGTGTTAGAGAACATATATCATAATCCAGGAGATGCTGGCATCATTCATTTATATCATTCGAATTTTAAATCCTTTACAGATATAAAGCAGCTTAAAATATCCCATCTCAAACTACTACTATTCCTAATGCTGATTTCTATCGTGTTCAGACATATCCACTATATTTGAGTTCGTGGATGTATCCAGCAGATGCTGCTTCTAACGTTTTACGTGTTAGAGAACATATATCATAATCCAGGAGATGCTGCCACCTTCATTTGTATCGTTGAAGTTTTAGTCTTTACATGTATAAAGCAACTTTAAGATGTACTATCCCAAACTACTTCTGCTCTTAATGTTATTCAATACAGGCATATCCAGGATACGTGAGTTTGTGAGATTGACTGTCGCCATTCCACTTCAAATAAATCCCCGATATGTGATTTTGTGAGTTGGTTTATTCAGGAGGTGCTGCCTCTAGCGCGTTTCGTGTTAGTCAACAAGTATTGTATTCCAGTAGGTGCTGCCATCAGTGACTTGTACCTTTGGAATTTTCTACTACATAATATTAAGTTTGAATCTTTCTCCTTGTGGTTATTTCCTTCTTGATAATAACTGCGATAAGTTTTAGTTTTTTACAGCTTTAATATCGTTTTAAATTCTTTTTGCTTTTACGTACTCCAAAATATTTTTATTTACGATATACCCGCTTTCTATTTCTGTTGAATTTCTAACAATGCAAGGTCAAATTAAGTAATGTACAGCAACCAATAAATATATGTAGATTAACACTTAATCAGTATTTTACCCATTTCACGTCCATTTATTGCTAATAAATAGATTTGGCTTTGCAAATTTTGCAAGACTGCTGAGATTGCAAGATAATGGATAAAGTCCAAAACTTAGACTACTTGTAAGACTAAGAACAAGATTTATTAAATTTATGCTCATTGGCGAATGCATCTATTTCGGGAAATGCGAAAATTATTGACTCAAGATAGAAAGAAGTAGAGATGCGTGCCCAACCAGGCTTTGGGCTAAAGATAATGAATGGAATACATCATCATTTGCTCCATGGATTTTTGGGCAAATGACAAATAATATATAAAGATTTCTGGTAATTAGGTAACACTTGACTACCAAGTTTCCAGAAAAACTAATCATTTTCGCTATCCATTTTACACGGCAATTAGGAAAAACTAAAACGGGTACCTTTGGTTCAGCTAAACCAAAATAAAATAAAATCAATTTTAGCCATAAAATAAACCTGCTGACGTAATACTACACAAGCAAGCTATTTACTTTTCCATGACAACGAGATTTTAACTGATTGTAAGGTGCACTGTCAAATTTAATTCCATCTCTTCAGTTTCTACCGTTTTTGTATCAAAATGCCTCCAGAGAAAGGGGAAGCGTGCTACGAAGTATCAAACATTGAAGAGCCTTCTATTCCCGTTGATATTCCACCCATGACAGAATTCGTACCATTCTTTGTTCGCGACATCCCCATAAGGCTTCCTTTGAACACAGGAACCAATCTTGACGTTTATTTTGAGCCTTTACCGCCACCGGAATTTTACACAAGATTGAACATTCCCAACGAAAATAACCTTAAGGATCTACTGGTAATTGCATGTTTAGTCAGAATTGATGGAGATTCTTAGAATATAGATACTTTATTTAAACTTTAAAATTAACATACAACGCGTAATAAATAATATTACATACCAAAATATCATAAAATACATAGGTACTCTTCACTACAAACATTTTTTGTTTCTTTGGTCACCGTTTAAGATACCTAAAAGACTGTAGTTTACCATCTGCATCTACAAATTCATCCATTATGTTTCTTATAAACGCAATACTTAGTGTCATTGTCTCTCTTTATGTACCTATTCTTATATTAACTGAAATTTTCCATGCACACGCCTTTACTTTTCAGCCATATTCACACAACAAAATAGATTCAAATCCCTCCATTGCTTTCCAGAGATCTTTTGTCTTATTTTTTATTCCCCTCGCGTTCTATGTTTCCGCCTTTAAGTTGTTGTTATTCCATATATTATACTTCATTTGTTTCTTCAACTCTTGATACTATTTCTCTCTTCAGACCTACCAACATCCCTCCCCTTGTTCTTCCTCTTTCCTCATTGAAGATTCCTAATATTGTAGCTCCTTTTACAAACTATACTCTTTAAAAGAAGGCAACATCATATAGGATGTGGTTATTCCCTTTCGTCTAATTTTATTGGAGTATTGATAACCTTTAAGATCCTTTTCTTTCAGCAAAGGGTAACTGGGCTTCAAAATGTTGAAAGTGTAACTCAACTGAAGCTAAAGGTAATAACACATGACATATGTTTACAAAACCTTAGTCTGTATACGCCAAATCTCACGGAACTAGACCTATCTGGAAGTTCTGTGAGTTCGTTGAGAGATCTGGGATGTGGATTAAAAAATCTAAAGGTTTTGAAAGTAAACTACTGCGGCATTTATGTTTTGGACGGTATGTGGCTCAGCGAGCCTTAAAGTTAGATTGGATGTATAAATTCTTAGATATTATAAGTTGTGATTCTATTTAGGTTTGTTTGGACTTCAGACATTACGAGAAATCCATGCAGGACATAATTTTATTAAGGACATAAGTCCGTGCAGTTTTCTTCCAGAAATCGAACTCATAGACATGAGATAGTACGTGATGTACATATGTAGATATTCCTCATTTTTCTTAATTATACAGTTATATTCCAGTAATCGCATCGAGAACATTAGTACGTTAAGCTTTTTAACTCTGTGCACTAATCTAAAACACATTATTTTGGAAGGAAATAGGGAAATTGTGAGTCATAATCGTGCTGAATATAGAAGCACAGTAAGAAATTTGCTTAGGACTTTGGAAACTTTGGATGAAGTTGCATTTACTGATGGTGAACAACTTTCTATAAATAAAATTTTAAAGATAATTGAACACAAATTTGTAGAGGATGGTGTTGTTTTACCCAGTATAAAAAGCAAACCAGGAATAAAAGATGATACGTCATCAATTTCGCAACCATCGTCGAGTAGAGAAGTATCAATTTCAATGTTTACGTTTATTTTGTTTGCTAACGCATGTTAATTTGTTAGACGTCGTTACCTCCCATAAAGGATAGCAAAACTCCCCATGTTTCCCCTAAGAACACTTTCAAAGCTACTAGTTCAAAATCAAACCCGAAAAGCAAATCATCATCAACTCATCAGAAGACGACAGGAAAGTATTCCAATTATTTGTAGTTTCAATGTCAACCAATCTTTAATAGTAACTTCACGATAATTCTGAACGTCATGCATATATCGAAAAAGGTTATTGTTTCAATTGAAACAAAATTTTTCAGGATTAGAATCCGATTTTCCAAAGGTTGTACAATTGCCTAAACCTACAACATCAAAACCCACTGCTAGATCCTCAACTTTAAAAAATAGAACAAAAGGCGACAAAGAAAAATAGCATACCACATATTTTGTATTTATTGATTTTTTTGTTTAATAAAATGCAAAATGTATATAAATAGTTCAAAATCTACAATTTGAGTTACTCTGTAGTGATTTCAAAAAAAATAATAAATGTAGATGTAGACTATGCGTGTAAAGTTACGAAAAAGTCAATTTTACGTATTTGCCATTTATTTTATTAAAGTTTTTTGAAATTTCTATGTGTAATTTCTGAGATGTACTTATTTTATGTTAACAAGGATTAATTATTGTCCTAATTAATATCCTAACTACACAGTCTGGCTACGACTCTGATTAAGGACACGGGTAATTTGTAATATCCAACAATAAGTCTTAGAATTAATTACGATTTGGATTAGTTTACATTAATCGAACGTAAGCTTAATGAAATTTTTTATAACTACAAAGACTTCTTAATTTTGTGTAAATGTGCTAAATCACATACACTCAAGAATTTAATAGATAAGTTTTATATTATTTTAGAAATACTGAGTAGAAATATTTGTAGCAGTTTGAAATGTTTATTAATAAATCTGTTATCGCAGTTATATAATTAATACTATTTTCTCTTTTCATTTTCTTATAAATTTTGTTTATTATGAATAAAGTAGTAGTAGTGTAATAATACACCGCCTTATCAGCAGGAATTGTGGTAGATAAAAAGTGAATCATAGGGATTTCTCGCGATATCGTATTCTGATAAAACGGGGAAAACAATTTAAACGTGTGCAAATTTCATTAAATATCTATGTCATCTATGGAATAGCGCGAAAAAACAAAAAGTATAATGGTCGACAGGGACGACAATTAAAAAGTGTAATGGCCGACACTAACAACAATACCTTAACAATTAAAAAAGCATGATGGCCGACAACAGCAACAATACTCTAACAATTAAAAATTATGATGGCCGACAACGACAACAATACTATAACAATGGGTAAACAATCATGGCCGATCATTATCAATAAAGATATTTGAAAACATCCTGAATTTAAAGTCTCATTTCGTCTTAATGTTTTATTGACAAATGAAAAGATCGTATCAGTTCGAGTCACTAAAACTTCTTTGAATATGTCATGGGTGGTTTTATGGTCAAATAGGGGCTAAAGATTGCCTAAAACTGTCGCAGTGAAGACCTTTATTATTCGAAACACTGCATCAAGACGCGTTGTAGTGGGTACTTTTCTCGGTTTCTTATAGGTCCATCGTTTTGAATTTCGATCACCTGATTTTCCGCAGTCGTATTGCTTTGACGTACGCAAGCGTTTTCGTTCTTTAGAGTCATTTTAGTGTTAGTTTGTGAGGAGTGTGGTGTTTTTACATGGCCACGAGAATGAATCAGGGCGCGGGTGATGGTTCAATTACCGAATTTTGGAATGGAACGATTTTTGAAAATGAAACGAAAAATGAACTACAAAAAAACGGTTATAATGGTCATTTAATTAATGTATGCAAGGTAAAACAAGTGTCTCATTACATGACACCCAAAGATTAGTTCTTATGATTAACGCCCAGTGCCTTATATTAAATAATTATTGTCGTAGGATTGCATTAATTCTTCTCTTTTACAGGAATATCCAAGAAATATGGTACATATCATGAACGGGCACACTTATCTGAATGGGCACACATCATTTGTAGGTTATGGTCTCAATAAATACAGCAAAATAAAATTAATTTCATGTTTTCTTTAAGAGTTCTGTTACCAAAGACATTATTGAAAGTAATGGTAGGATTTTAGTGGAAGATGGTACATTAAAGGCAAATCGCAATACTACTATAACACCAACTAATATTACCAAACTGTCTGTGGTAAGTACCCCCATTTAGAAACCACCAATGTTTAGCATTGAATGATAAAACCTTGTGTTTACAGATAGAGTCAGACAAGTTTAAGTTAAAAGAGTCCTTTGAAAAGCCTTCTCTTATAATAACTGCTATTATACATATAAGTTTTTACATATTGATGTTCCTCGGATATTTGAGTCAGATGTTGTTTCCACCAAAAGTTGTCAAAGAAAAAAGTAGAGAAGGTTATCCGCCCTTGTATGATAGATTTTCTAGTTTCTATTCTAGATATGTATATAGGAGAGTGCGTGATTGCTGGAACTACCCCATTTGCAGTGTTCCAGGTGCAGAAGTGACCCTCAAGGATCGAATTACGAGAGACAATGGATGGACTTTTGAGTAAGCCTCCTATTAACCCTTTTTTACCTATATGCAATCAAATCAAATGATATTTACATTACTTATCCTTTTATATGCATTCTTAACATCTCACTTTGTCTAAAATGTTAGTGTACTAATTTTCATATATTTAGTATTAGTTTTTTATCATAAGACTTCATTACTACTGAAGATTTTAGGCTTTCTAAATAGTAATTAAAAAAAGCAAATTTCTTTTAGTTTTGCATGACATTGCTTTTACAATTATCTTATCAATTTGTTAGTTTTAATAAGATTAGTCTGGTGACTGTTTTTATTTGCAGTTATTACACGTCATTTTACAAATTTATAGTTACTTTCCACCTTTATTTACCTACGGTTATCAAAGCTAAAATTATTGAGGTAAATCTATTGAATAACATTTTGACGTAGTATTAAGTATTAATGTATTTTAACAAGAAAAGAAACAAAAATCCTTATGGAGAATTCACCATTAATGTTTAATTAATGTTTAGTTAATATACACCATGTTAAATGTTGCATTATTAATAATTTAAAGCACGAACTTGATTCGTGAATATAGCCACATATTATAAAGTTTAAATAATGTACTTCAATTGAGCAATGAATTTTGAAGATCAAGTTTACTATCAATAGGTTATTGACCCACTGATATACTGATAAAAAAATGCTTTCAAGTCCCTGGAACACTGTTATCAGTGACTTTTTTTTTATTTACAATCAATCAACTTGTTCTTGTTATGTAATAAATGTCTCATTCTGAATGTTTATAAACAAGGATCTCATTTACTAGATTTCCAATATCTATAAATATCTTTATAATCTAAAACAAGTTAATTTATTTTTACGCACACGACCCATATTTCCATGGTATTAAGTTTATTTTTTTTACCAAAACTGTATTAACAATTCCAAAAATAAAATTAATTTGAAGCTCGGCCAAACGTATAAATTGTTAAGTTATTCTTTCCAAGAAATTTTCATCAAAACACTGTACTTAATGCCAATAAAGCGCCTTTAAGAAAGTAAATGATGTAATAAATAAAACCTTAATAGCTATTGCCACATACACTATTTGCTGTGGTAAACTCTACTTTAATAGACTACAGTTTTGTTCTAATTTTACAGACCAAACATAACTGCATATATTTTAATAGATATTTTTTATGAGTACTGTTCATCCATTTTTATGTAAATGGCATATTAAAAGAAGGTACCTATGTAGTGATCATTTTGAATAATGCTCTTTTATCGTAAGTCCTTCATGAGTACTGTTATAAAAACTCATCCAACTGAAAGACTATTTAAACACTAAACAGTTATGATAGATTTTACTATTTTTATACTACCGTACTGTATACTAAATAATTTGCGGTTTTGTTTTTGTTCCACAACCTAAAATCTATCACAAAATAATTGAAATTGTTATGTAATTTAAACGTTAAATTTGTCCTTCCAAGTATATTTATTTATAATATAGAGAACAATAACCAATGTCCCTAAATTATTATTTATGACAAAAGGTGAACTTTTAGATTTACTGGAACTCAAACTAAGTGTATCAATTTGGGCTCATACAATTACTTGGGTTTCGCACAAGCAACTGGACCATGCGCAGAATATACCATTAAAATTTTACACGAATATGGCTTATCTACAGGTGCTACAAGGCAAAATCATGGCACTTGTAAAGTTCATATTGAACTTGAAAAGCTTATGGCAGAATTTTTGGGCGTCGACGACGCCATAACAGTTGGCATGGGTTTCGCCACCAACTCCTTAAACATTCCTACCCTTTTTGCTCCAGGTTGTCTCGTATTAAGCGATGAAAAGAACCATGCATCCCTTATATTGGGTATTAGATTATCAGGCGCTTCAGTTAAAGTTTTTCGCCATAATAGTGAGTTATTTTAAATGATTTTGGTTTTTTAAACTTATTCGCCACGATTTCCTAACAGATATGGTTCATTTGGAAAAGTTGCTCCGCGAACAAATTTACAAAGGGCAACCGGATCAACCCAATAACGAATACAAACCTTGGAATAAGATCTTTATTGTAGTAGAGGGGATTTACAGTATGGAAGGTTCGATTGTAAATTTACCCAAAGTTATTGCCCTTAAAAAGAAATACAAGGCTTACTTGTATCTAGACGAAGCCCATAGCATCGGAGCTATGGGTAGCACTGGTAGAGGCGTGGTTGACTACTTCGGCTGCAATCCCAAAGATGTCGACATACTTATGGGAACGTTTACGAAAAGTTTTGGATCTGCTGGCGGATATATTGCGGGGCGAAAGGTAAGAATAACAAAAGAAAACATTACAATAATATTTTTAGACCGTTGACATATCTTTTTAGGAGTTAGTAACGTACTTGAGAAAGTATAGTTATGCCTCAAAGTACGCTACGGCCATGTCACCACCCTTAGCCGCACAAATTATTGCTGTTTTAAGAATATTGATGGGTAAAGATGGAACAGACGAGGGTAAAAATCGAATGGATGCACTGGCAAGAAACACTCGGTATTTTAGGAAGAGACTGGCACAAATCGGTGTGATCACTTATGGTAATGAAGACTCGCCAGTAGTACCAATTCTTGTGTATTATTATTCTAAGATAGCGTAAGTGTATAGCTCAAAGTTTAAGTCTTAAACTGTTCATGAAAAACTGGTCTTAACTAAGTTTTACTTGTACAGTAGGCAACTCTTTCAATATGGCGGTCAGATGCCATATTGAAACAATTATCGCTCATAGTCGTTTGTTTTATTACAGGGCAATGGTGCGAACGCTTATAAAGAATAAGATAGCCACTGTAGGGGTGGGTTATCCTGCTACACCCCTTCTTCAAGGCAGAATACGAATATGTTTATCAGCCGCACACACTAAAGAACAGCTGGATTACGCACTAGATGCAATAGCAACAGTGGCAGATGAATTAGGTTTGAAATACTCGAGGTTACCAAAAGACCTCGCACCAATCGTTTATGAAGAAACCTAAACGTTTATCCTAACCTAATTCTATCATACCTCATACAGCTTCATCGTGTTCACTCACGTTCCTTTATCCCTCTTGTGGCCATAGAAGAAAATAGAACAGAACAGCCGTCTAAAAACAAACAAAGCAAGATATCAATAATTTATTTATTTTTGTCTTATTATTACCACAACATGTATTATATACAATATTTATTTTTTGTTTTAGACTGCATTATCTATGATTATTGTATTATGGTGTTTGTTGTTCAAGTGTTTTTGATTGTTTTTTCCAATTCTTTTTTTTTTCTGGTCATCTTTGTTTTTCCAATTACATTTTTTATCACAACCCCTCTGTTGCACCAAAGAAAAGAAATTTTGGTCTCATTGACTATTAGAACAATTCCAGATAAATAATTCTTTGCAATTTTGAGTAAAATTTATTATGAATAGTAACAATTCAGTGCAATTAGTTGAAAAGTTATCAATAATTGTTAAGAGATTCATGCCTACTTAATTGTTATAACTACTAGTACAGTGCGGCTTGTTACGCTTCTTGTTGTTGCTTTAGATTTTAAACAAATTTCAGAATTGCAAAGGTACCTCTTATTAAAACTGGTTAGAACAGCTTATTATTAAAAAAAATTCAATAAAGTTATTTTTATACATTCTCTCGTTTTATTTTAAAACTATTAAAATTACTTTAGGGTTAAATAGAAGTAAGTTCCAATTATATTTCAATATTTGCGTTAGAAAAGTGACTTAAGTTAACTAATGATGAATTAGCAAGTGTTTGAGAAAAGTGCATTCTTAATTAATACGTAAGTACCCTAAATGAATAAGTTATTACATAAAGAGTAATAAAGCGTTTCTAAGTTGGTGTTTTTCATTAAGTAACTTACTTAATCTCAAGAAGCATGCCTAAAACACAGTTAATGGATTTGTTCAATGTATTGCCATCTAGTGGGTATTTGCTGTTACTGAAGTAACTATTTTATGCGTTACGTAACTTTTAACTTAATAAACGTTCTTATTATTTATTTGTTATCATTAAAAGTAGCTTAAACAATCTTATGTTATAAAAATTGTATCAATTTAATGTTAAATTACATCAAAATACTTTAAAACACTGTTCAGTTTAGAATTATGATACTCTGTCAAGGATTAAACCCCCTTGAAGGTAATCATTGAAGTTTTTTCGTAAGTAGAAAGATGTTTAACTATGTTATTTTGTTATTTCCAAACCCTATACATCAAAAACCTATGGAATTCATGAAGTTGGCCTTTTTAACTATCATACTGAGTAAGAAATCTAGACTATGTCTCCACACTAAAAATAGGTCCAAGAAATGGTTAAGGAAAAATAGAATTTTATCAGTTACGTATTCAGAAAAAATTTTAGAGGTAAAACCATTTTTAAACAAAACTAAAAGTTCAGAAAAGTCAAACGCCTCGCAAACGCACAATGAAATTGTAAATAAAATTTGTAAAATGTAAAATAACTTTCGTTAAAGCCGCAAAAATTAAGCTAGTTATTATACAATTTTATAAATATTGTCCATAACACAAGTTGCGCTACTTGAAATGAAGTTTATGACGTGAAATTAATTTGGTACTTCAACTTACCTACGCACATGGTAACGGCAATATATTAAGAAAAGTATCTGTTTAAGTATTGTTTCGCTCACAAATATTATCTTTTAACGCACTTAAACGATAATGCAATTAATTGAACCCGTAAAATAACCATACATTTTCACTTGTCTTATTCGACTTAATCCGGTTACTTTCGGTACCAATACCAACCAACTCACTTCGACATTTCTGGTCATCAGAGTTTTAAAAAGAAAGGTTATTTCTTACACACGCGAATAAACAATACAGTGAATAAGTGAACTTTTAAATTGAAATCGTTTAATAAAACCTTTACAAAACATAAAGTGTATGTTCTGTGCGTTGTTTTATAGGAAAATACAACAACAACATAGTCACTCGAAACAAACTGAGGAATGAGACAGATACGTAAGTCACAAAAATTCAGTAGACTACTTATTACTTTTAAATTAAACATACAATAGCTAAGATAATAAAAACAAATGTAAATAGATAAAACAAAAATGTATCGATAGCGACAGCCAATAAGATCCAATCGTTTTGCACGTGTGATTTCGTCAATTTTATCATTTGTATCATATGATGATCGTCGTTACTATTGTGCTCTTCGAATTCTGTAGCTTGTTGCTCACGCATCTCTTCTACTTGGGCACGATCACCACGTATGTTTGACTAAAAAATAGTTATATATTATTGATAATAAGAAATTTTCCCTTCGGCAAATGCACAGTACGTACTTCTGACGGGGTAAAATTGAGTCCCAAAGCATGTCTTCCAAATGGCCCCGTCAGAAAACTTTTTATTTTCCATGGTAACTGACGATTATGTTTTGTCCGGGACAACCAAAGCACAACAACGGCAGCAATCATTGAAAAACATACAATGTACAAGCTTGTACTGTAGAAACACACTAAAACATTTTAATTAAATAGTAATTAGTAGATAATTGCCACATTTAATGCCAACATTTCCTATAATTTGGCTAACTGCGACTTGATTTAAGTATCATTGCACAATACTTAAATCCTTAGCTAATATTAAATTATAATTATAAACTCCATACCTACTGAAGGAACGTTCGATCCAATTGCAGGAAGTTTAGAGGTGAAGTAAAGCATAAAAATGCAAATTATTATGGCTGTTACTCCATTTAAAACGACCTTTTCACCTGATTGTGGTGGTAACCAATACGAAGACAACGTCAGCAGCATAATCACTTAAAAAAAAAATGTTTTATACAATTTTTGATAAACAAACACATATTACTCCATCTTGTTTATATATGTAGGTACCGGTAATGTACCTATCGATTAAATGCATCCATCTTTAAAGGGGCATACGCCCTTTACAGAAATGAATAAATAAATAAATAAAATAACTACTTAATAAAGATTATATAAGATCAGTTACCTATAGCAGGTGTTATAATGAGGGCTTTATAAGATGGCGACTTTCGAGATAGAGTTAAGGTGAAGGTAACATCTGTATAGGGCTCCATGCAACATTTGTAGTAAACTAAATTTTTCTTAGAATCGGTCTGTGTAATATCCCAAGCGTTATTTTTAACCACCATATCTTCCAACTATTAATTACAAATATAGTAAATTTTAAACTTCATTAAAATGGTATACACAAAATAAGGCTGATAATCATTTAAAGATTGAAAAAATTAGTTTATAACGTGCTAATAGTCGTAGGTTTGTCTGTGTGTTTGTCCATCGTTCTATGAGTTGGTCATGATCAAAAATGCCACTAATGGATTACAAAATTACTGAGGGTGCTGTCAAAATGTAAATCCTATGATGTAAGATAGGAGACGAAAAATTAGAAGTAGCTGATTTTCGGTATCTAGCAAGTAACAGTATGGAAGGGGTAATACAGATATGCTCGCGAATGGTTAATTTATAAATTCTAAAAAGATTATTGAAGGTGTATTACTAGAGCACGGCGAAATGTGATGTTACAGGTGAATGATGAAGATACCATGGATAGAGAAGGTTAGAAATAAAGAGGTATTAGAAAGAATAGGAGAACAGAGGACTCTATGAAAGTCAATAAGAAATAGGCGAAATAGGTTGGTAGGACACCTTCTCAGGCATGAAGGTCTAGTCAGAGACATATTAGAGGCAGAAACGGGAGTTAGGATAGATAGAGGTAGACCTAAATAAGATTAGTGTTATTACTAAAGAGAAGGTGAGTGTCAAACCAGTCTTAGGAATGACATTCTGATGATGTACCATAGAGAACGGTACCCATCGTCTAAATTTGGATGGACACAGCTAGTTTAATAAATAAATTGATACTTTTGACGAATTCAGATTTAGGGACGCGTTTGACGCAATACTTAGAAATGTATTTAGATTTAGGTACCTTTAAAATCTAATTTAGAACGCCAAATTCTTGGTCAGTAACTTATATATAAACCTAATCCATGACAGGCATTAAATGTATTGACTTGCCCACCTGTATTCCTTTTCTTAATTCGTCAATGTTCATGTCAATTTCTTCTCCGTGGTAAGTCCAAGATCCAAACTTCAGATAGCATTTTTGAGTATCGAACGGCCAATATTTCAAATCAAATTCGCAAAGAGCGTTCAAAATGACCGGAGGTACCCATATTATATTCCCATTTGAATTCACGACACAATGGGTTCCACCAAAATGAGTATTTGGGGTTGCGCTAAATATGTGGTTTTTATTGAAAAGATGAAGAATTAAAGAATTTACAGTTTATTCATTAACATTTTACCTATTGTACAATAAGACGTCCGGTTGCCAAATTTCGTGGTCTGCAAAGTTTAATTTTTTTATTCCACCATAACTATCTGGGTTCCATTTTAACTTCTCGTCTGTCCATTCCTAAGAAATTGGTTTCATGAAGCTTATGAATTTTGGCAATGCAAAAAGAAGGGAAAAGGCTTTGTAAATACTACATTTTGTCCCTTCTACTTGATCACTCACCAGACTTAGCCAGCCATTTACAGATATCATGCTTTTCAGTTCGTTTACTTCCAAATGAATTATGCTTAAACCAATTTGAACGTTTGTCAAATTGTAGTGTTGAGTTGGTCTAGCAAATTTGTCATAATTCAATAGCAAATCTTGTTTCAAAACATCCACATGAGTCGCATTCCATATGGGCTTTGGCCCCAGCTCTAACATTATAAATAAGTATATACTTTTGAAAAATAAGTCAACGGTTTATTTGTTTGCTCTCAATTAGTCTGTTTTTCTATAAGTAGCACAACATGGAAACCAATTCCAAAAATTTGACCATTTTGAATTAATTTTTCAGTTCAAAACACCCTTATACACTCATACTCTATGAATTTAGTTAAAAGCTGTTGATTTTGAGAAATCAATAGTGACGAATTGAAGATCGGGCATGTAGGAATATTCTGTTACATGCCATCATCATCTTTTGAAAAATACAAAAGATTTCTACCTTCAGTGAACATTTTGCCTTACCCGTATAATACATTAATTCATATTCCTAAACACATTTCAACATTCATAAACTTCGATAAAATAAATTTTCTTAAATTTTGAACATTTTAACATACCTACCATTTATTTTATTTCAATTTTCTTAATACTCAGATTATTCAAATTTGATTAAAATACTTACGCACTGTAGAGAATCCACTGCCACCATTCGTTAATGATATTAACAACAAAAAAAATAGCAAATCACAAACTGTTATACATTTTAACCATTTTTTCTGGCCTGTAAGAACCATAATGTCTACTTGTTTATCAGAGATAAAGACTTGTGTACGTGTAAGTAATATTGTATACAAACATGCGTCTAGGGACCCATCCCGATTACCATCAGTTACAATTTTGATAAATACTTCCTGTACACCACCATACGCGGTGCGTTATAAGGGTTCAAAGAAAATAGAAAATGACCAAACGTTAGATATTTCTAGAAACCTACACCGAAGGGTTTAAATTATATTTCATCGAAAAGTATCAAAAAATAACAGCAAACCAAGATGCTAACGTTTACCATGAATTTGATAGTTCTCCCGCCACAATTTTTTCAAAATAAAATATAATCAGTTTATAGATTTCAGTTATCATTTTTTGTTTTTTTTTTTTTAATTTCTGATGGCGTCAACGCTTTGACTTCCTTTCTCATTATTTGCAACTTAAAAAAATATATTATAACATATACCCTTGCCGAAAATAGGATATTTCTCCCTGATTTCAGGGATGATATTAGTGCAACATTCCATTCCGGATAAAAAAATCGTGTTTACTCCTTATTTCTCACCCCTCTAAAAAAATCATATACAGACTTCAAAAAAAGTTTACGGCATCCCTCCCAGGACGAAATGTCATGCTTTCATCCCTTGGCGCGTAATATACTCTTAACTCCAAAATATGTTGATGTCAAGAGTATTTAAAAGCATTTTTCCAAAATATTTCAGTGTGATCCGTATTTTAATATTATTGCTCATGGTTCAAGATCCATATTATCTAAACTCCAACCGAAATGAGATATCGACTTGAAAGTAATAAATAATAAATAAATCTTTGAGCTAGAGACGAAAATCGTGTTTAAAATTATAAAAGAACTATTTAATGGGAACAAAAACTTTTCTATCTAACTAATCCTAAGAATATCTCTTAATTTTTTTAATTAAAATTTCATCATCAAATTGAAATTTGATCATCAGGTTTTGAGAAAAATACCCACATGACTTTTTTCTTCTGTATTTACGTAGTTTTGGTTGAATTGATGCGCCGCTGGTATGGAGACAATTTAAAATAAGTATGTTGACAATAATATCTAGTTCCATCACCCACTTACCGAAATGGCCATCACTAGAACAATCTCATAGCTTACCATATCAGGTCAGGCTTTAAATGTCTAATTTTTCCACACCTGTATTTACACATTTTGAAAAATACTTTGATCTTGATCCCTTTTACAAGAACAAATTTAAACAAACACTCAAAACCCTGATTTTTTTTATTAATTAATAGTTGATTACAGGTATATGCAAAAAAATATTACAAAACAATTTTCTTAGAAATAGCTTAATGTAGGTGTTGAGTTTTGTACGATTTTGATGGTGTGTGAAAAGATTTCAGTTTGGCAATCGTTAAAGGTCATTACAGACGGTTAAATTAATGCTTTATTGCTGAATATACGACATTCCTGACGGTATAGAAATTGTATAGACATTTACTTATGAATAATTTAATGAAAATTTTGGTGGAGGCGCCGGGACAGTTTAAAATAAAGGCTACAATTGAGCTTTAATTCAGGTTTCATTGATGCAGATTGATGAATTCTCATCTTTACATTATATTTTTGTCATATAATTGCAGTTAGGGATGCTAGTTTCTATTATTTTTTAGAATTAAACTACAGCTTGTAAATAATATAATAATATAATATATAGGCAACCAAATATACATCAACTATTTTTCATAGGGAAATAACTTTTTTACGTGAAACTCAATACAATTCCCGAACATACCACAAAATGTTACGTATAAATAATTAATTAATTTGTGATAAGTTTAAAGACATATTGAAAAATGTGGTTGAAAACTTGCCCATTTTTATAATATTAAATTACGTACTAAAGTTATATAACTTAGTGTCGTTTTTGAACGAATTGTAAGTTATAATTTTCTATGAAATATTTGTTTTAGCTTTTGTTCTTTTCTAAGAAAACTGTCGTCAAACTAAAAAAAGTAAATAAAAAGGTCAACTTGAAATATCACACGTCAGTCTGATTTTCGAAACAGTACTACATTTTTAGTAAAATTAATGCATAAAATTTTCAAATAGTAATAGAATTTAATTTAGTAGATACTTAATTGTACGTACACAAAAAAATTTGGAGAAGTAATCGTCGATTCTTCTGTTAATAGTTAAATTTTCTTAAATGTAACTCAATGTATTAAGAGTTTGATCACAGAGAAATGCAGAAATTATGTTTAGAAATTTTCTAAATCCGTAACCAGTTGAGGCTGATGGAGGCTTAGAACAGCCTCAAAATTTTCCCTTGTTACGGCCCTGATTGCACAATAGAAACTGCAACGTGTTATATATGTGTACATATGTATTTAATGTATCTATGCATGTTACAAATCCTTCAAGGTCACAAGATTGCCTTGTTATTTTATAGACTTATCTCATTACAATAAAAAACGTAAACAACATTGTTCGTAAAAGGAAGATTTATAAATAGAACGATACAGGGTGTTCGTTAAGCCCATTAGTTAAAGAAACAATCGCCACTCTTTAAAATAAAAAACAAATTTTTTTTCAAAGTTTTTTATTAATAACAAACGAATATTAATTGTATTTACAAAAAATGTGAAACTGAAACGTAAAACATTATAAATTGCACACACATTGAAGGAACAATGGTAGATATTCCGTACTTACATAGTTTTAGTTTGGACCTACTAAAATCTCCAAACATTAAGAATTTAAAAAACATAAGTACAAGTACACGATTCATAAAGATTTATTTAATTGAAATGTGGAGTACGGGGATCGAAGGATCCAGGGGAATAGGGCCAGTAGGGCGGGGATGGAAACAACCCGGTTTGTGCATGTTGCGCTCCGTGTGGAAGCAGACTGGGCAGCTTCCCATTTGCAGAAGATGCTGTTGGGTACAAGGCAGATCCAAGTTCACTTTGATGTGGCTGGTATTTAGTGTAATTCATTGTGACGTCAGTTTGGCCTTGAGCTTGGGCTTGACATGCGATCATTAGCCCATGAAAGTCGAATTTGTAAGCGTAACGCTTGCCGTGAACTTTCGACATTATGTTTTTGTCGTAATAGTACCTGTTAAAGAAGAATTTCCTGATACAAATCCATCCCCATCAAGTGAAGTCAATTGGTCTACATAGAAGTCGTTAGACATAAATGAACAAAATGAAAACGGTCACTTAGGTGTATTCCATGGTTAAAAAAATTGATAAGATCAAAAAGGGAAAAAATACCATTAGAAAATGGATTACTTTTACGCTTCTGATTAAAATTTTGAAATTCCGAGCTGAGATTCTGATTCAATATCAAAATTTTATGCAGTATACCATTTATACATCGAAGACGCGATCAACATCATCAAAGACAGTACAACTGTAGGAATAGAAGCATCTAGCAAGGAGGAGTTACAGATAGCTTTAAATAAAATGGAAGCGGTATTGACAAGACAGTATTGTATGAAAATAAATAAAGGTAAAACAAAAATACTAGTATGCAAGGGAAGAAAAAGTAGGGACAGAGCGAATATAAAGATAGGAGACGAAAATTTACAAGAAGTGGCTGATTTTAGGTAAATAATAAATCAGATAAGTCGGGACGAAAGGAATAGTACGGACGAAAAGAAGTCACTTCTATGCTCGGGAACGATTAATTTAGAAATTCGAAAAGGATTGTTAAAGGTGTACGGGTGCGAAACATGGACGGTGGGCGCGGCGGAAAACAAAAGGTTAGAAGCGTTCGAAATGTGGTGTTACCGGCGGATGATGAGGATACCGTGGATAGAGATGAACGGTTTTAAAAATATTGAGGAAAAATCATGTTTAGGGAGACCGCGTAGTTCCCCCAGAAAGCATATTTCGGCAATTGTTTATAATAACGTCGCTTCATAAAAATACCTCAGGACAAATCGCCCCTTCAGTTATTTTAGAAAACACCCTGTATCAACTGTCCAAGTACAGCTTAAGGCGTGTTATTTTAAGACTGGAAAGCGACTAGATAACCATAGGCAAATTTGAACATAGTCTTTACAGGCTGCAGAACCTTCTTCAATCAAAAGGACTCCTTCGTAATCAAGAAAATTGAATGAGTATTATCTATCGTCTATTTACTAATGAAAAACAACTTAAACTCTAACAGAAAGCAGTAGATAAGTATAATCATCAATCGCCCATTACTCAAGAATCACTTAACTTATTTGGATTAGGATTCTACTACTATTATAATGAGGAATTTCAGAATTATTGGGAAAATAATAGAACAACTGGACTGAGCAAAGATAGGTTAATTAAGAATCATACAAGATGAAGCTGTAGACAAAATGCAGATGGATCATACCTATATTATAGACTACACCTACTTTTTTGAAGAGGGTAAGAAATGGCCAATTCCCATGTATAGGACCAGGAACAGCTATTACGTTCCTGGGTGAGCACGAGTGAGTCAAGGCTCCTACATAACTGAAATGCTCATAGATCATTGATAATTCTAGCTCATGTGCTGATCAACCCTCATATTAACTTATTAACTCAACATAAATCAGCAAACATTCAATATGACATATAACCAAAGACGCTTTAATGCTTAAGGCAACGAGACGTTTTTATTTAATCATGATGCAAAAGCGTTTATGTAACTATACCAAATTATTTTCCAAAGACAATTTCGGTTCCTGTCCGAGAGGTGGTGGTACCATGGGAAGAAAATAACATACGGTTTAAGACATTCTTTACCCTTCCTGCATTTTGAGTTAAGTGAAATTATATATAAGTACTTGTGCGTATGCAAGGGAAGAAGAATTAGGGTAAAATTGAATATAAAAATAGGAGACAAAAAAGTCATTGATTTTGGGTATAGGAAGTCAGATAATTCCGGACAGAAGGAGCCTAATAGATATAAAACAAAGGATAGCTCGGAGTCGAGCCTTCTTTAACAAAATAAAGTCACTGGTATGCTCATAAACGGTTAATTTAGAAATTCCAGAAGGATTGTTGGAGGTGTATGTTTGGGAATCAGTTCTGTATGGATGTGAAATGTAGACTATGTTTGTGGCGGAAAAGAAAAGGGTTAGAAGTGTTCGAAATGTGGTGTTAACAGGCAAATGATGAGGATAGACAAGGTTAGAAATAAGGTGGTATTACAAAGAATATGATAACAGACGACGCAAGGAGCTTCTCAGACATGAAAGGATATTAGAAACAGGAACAGGAATTAAGAGGAGTAGATGTGGACTTGGATTATATTACTCCCCACAAATAGTTATTAAGGATGTGGGATGTTCGAGTTTTAAAGGAAGATTTAGCTCAAGATGGGGAAGAGTTGAGCTTCGTTTCCAACCAGTCTCTGATGGATTGACAACCCAAAGATAAAAATAATGATGGATGATGTGTAGAATAAGAATAACACATATAAAAAACATGTTTTACATGAGCAAAACCTGGAAATTTACAAAAAGCTGGTTAAATTGATAGAGAAAGACATATTTTCTGGTCAATCGGCATAAATAGGTAGAAACATTTTTTTTGCAACTTTTTAATCTACAAAATTTTCAGTAAGTAGGCATTACAATTGAGGTTCCAGTCTACCAAAAAATTAAGAAAGCTCATATCTTTCCAAATTTGATGACCAAAAGATATAGTCAGAAATGAGTTGTTTCTGAAAAACCCGCTGGAAAAAAGTTGACTTACCTGAGTGCTCTGCTTAGTTTGTCATAGTTCATGTTGGGTTTAGCCTTCCGTTCTCCCCAGCGTCGCGCGACCTCATCAGGATCTGTGAGTTTGAATTCTCCATTGGTGCCCTCCCAAGCGATACACGCTGCATTCGACGAATCCCCAAGCAGCTCTAGCAAAAATTGCCAGAGCTGGATCTGCCCAGAGCCTTGAGCGACCAATCGACTCGATGCAGCATTCAACAATTGGTAAGGATCTGACATGAGAAAAAAATAATTGAGTCATGAAAATTCCAAACTCGACTTTCGAAATCCTCAATTACAATCAAATGCGGGGAACTGGCGCAAAAACGCAAGGATTCATGATAAGCCTGAGTGAGAAACTCGATAGTGCGTATACGGTATGCTTGTAAGACAAAGGAATCACTTTTATCGAAACTGTTTACAATCAATAGTTATATTATTTTAAGTACTCAAACTTCTCAAGTGTTCAAAGTATTGTAATCACCAAATTGCGAAAAGCAAAGAAAAATGAATTTCTGGTGGAGGCGCCAGATCTAATATAAATCCAGTTTGTATTAGCAAATTGCAGGGATTTTGCGCGATTTTTGCCTTTCGGTATCCACAAAATGTAAAATTTATTTACATTATTTACAGACAATAGATAGTAATTTTAATTGTTAATAATCAATTCATTAAGTTTACAATTGTTTAACTCCTATTTTCCTAACAGTTTTCAGTAATCCTTTCGGATGAATACAGATCCTCCAATCCTACACGATGCTTAACANATAAGTATATACTTTTGAAAAATAAGTCAACGGTTTATTTGTTTGCTCTCAATTAGTCTGTTTTTCTATAAGTAGCACAACATGGAAACCAATTCCAAAAATTTGACCATTTTGAATTAATTTTTCAGTTCAAAACACCCTTATACACTCATACTCTATGAATTTAGTTAAAAGCTGTTGATTTTGAGAAATCAATAGTGACGAATTGAAGATCGGGCATGTAGGAATATTCTGTTACATGCCATCATCATCTTTTGAAAAATACAAAAGATTTCTACCTTCAGTGAACATTTTGCCTTACCCGTATAATACATTAATTCATATTCCTAAACACATTTCAACATTCATAAACTTCGATAAAATAAATTTTCTTAAATTTTGAACATTTTAACATACCTACCATTTATTTTATTTCAATTTTCTTAATACTCAGATTATTCAAATTTGATTAAAATACTTACGCACTGTAGAGAATCCACTGCCACCATTCGTTAATGATATTAACAACAAAAAAAATAGCAAATCACAAACTGTTATACATTTTAACCATTTTTTCTGGCCTGTAAGAACCATAATGTCTACTTGTTTATCAGAGATAAAGACTTGTGTACGTGTAAGTAATATTGTATACAAACATGCGTCTAGGGACCCATCCCGATTACCATCAGTTACAATTTTGATAAATACTTCCTGTACACCACCATACGCGGTGCGTTATAAGGGTTCAAAGAAAATAGAAAATGACCAAACGTTAGATATTTCTAGAAACCTACACCGAAGGGTTTAAATTATATTTCATCGAAAAGTATCAAAAAATAACAGCAAACCAAGATGCTAACGTTTACCATGAATTTGATAGTTCTCCCGCCACAATTTTTTCAAAATAAAATATAATCAGTTTATAGATTTCAGTTATCATTTTTTGTTTTTTTTTTTTTAATTTCTGATGGCGTCAACGCTTTGACTTCCTTTCTCATTATTTGCAACTTAAAAAAATATATTATAACATATACCCTTGCCGAAAATAGGATATTTCTCCCTGATTTCAGGGATGATATTAGTGCAACATTCCATTCCGGATAAAAAAATCGTGTTTACTCCTTATTTCTCACCCCTCTAAAAAAATCATATACAGACTTCAAAAAAAGTTTACGGCATCCCTCCCAGGACGAAATGTCATGCTTTCATCCCTTGGCGCGTAATATACTCTTAACTCCAAAATATGTTGATGTCAAGAGTATTTAAAAGCATTTTTCCAAAATATTTCAGTGTGATCCGTATTTTAATATTATTGCTCATGGTTCAAGATCCATATTATCTAAACTCCAACCGAAATGAGATATCGACTTGAAAGTAATAAATAATAAATAAATCTTTGAGCTAGAGACGAAAATCGTGTTTAAAATTATAAAAGAACTATTTAATGGGAACAAAAACTTTTCTATCTAACTAATCCTAAGAATATCTCTTAATTTTTTTAATTAAAATTTCATCATCAAATTGAAATTTGATCATCAGGTTTTGAGAAAAATACCCACATGACTTTTTTCTTCTGTATTTACGTAGTTTTGGTTGAATTGATGCGCCGCTGGTATGGAGACAATTTAAAATAAGTATGTTGACAATAATATCTAGTTCCATCACCCACTTACCGAAATGGCCATCACTAGAACAATCTCATAGCTTACCATATCAGGTCAGGCTTTAAATGTCTAATTTTTCCACACCTGTATTTACACATTTTGAAAAATACTTTGATCTTGATCCCTTTTACAAGAACAAATTTAAACAAACACTCAAAACCCTGATTTTTTTTATTAATTAATAGTTGATTACAGGTATATGCAAAAAAATATTACAAAACAATTTTCTTAGAAATAGCTTAATGTAGGTGTTGAGTTTTGTACGATTTTGATGGTGTGTGAAAAGATTTCAGTTTGGCAATCGTTAAAGGTCATTACAGACGGTTAAATTAATGCTTTATTGCTGAATATACGACATTCCTGACGGTATAGAAATTGTATAGACATTTACTTATGAATAATTTAATGAAAATTTTGGTGGAGGCGCCGGGACAGTTTAAAATAAAGGCTACAATTGAGCTTTAATTCAGGTTTCATTGATGCAAATTGATGAATTCTCATCTTTACATTATATTTTTGTCATATAATTGCAGTTAGGGATGCTAGTTTCTATTATTTTTTAGAATTAAACTACAGTTTGTGAATAATATATAGGCAACCAAATATACATCAACAATTACACGATTTTTCACAGAGAAATAACTTTTTTACGTGAAATTCAATACTATTCCTGAACATACCACAAAATATTACGTATAATAATTAATTAATTTAACATTTTACCTATTGTACAATAAGACGTCCGGTTGCCAAATTTCGTGGTCTGCAAAGTTTAATTTTTTTATTCCACCATAACTATCTGGGTTCCATTTTAACTTCTCGTCTGTCCATTCCTAAGAAATTGGTTTCATGAAGCTTATGAATTTTGGCAATGCAAAAAGAAGGGAAAAGGCTTTGTAAATACTACATTTTGTCCCTTCTACTTGATCACTCACCAGACTTAGCCAGCCATTTACAGATATCATGCTTTTCAGTTCGTTTACTTCCAAATGAATTATGCTTAAACCAATTTGAACGTTTGTCAAATTGTAGTGTTGAGTTGGTCTAGCAAATTTGTCATAATTCAATAGCAAATCTTGTTTCAAAACATCCACATGAGTCGCATTCCATATGGGCTTTGGCCCCAGCTCTAACATTATAAATAAGTATATACTTTTGAAAAATAAGTCAACGGTTTATTTGTTTGCTCTCAATTAGTCTGTTTTTCTATAAGTAGCACAACATGGAAACCAATTCCAAAAATTTGACCATTTTGAATTAATTTTTCAGTTCAAAACACCCTTATACACTCATACTCTATGAATTTAGTTAAAAGCTGTTGATTTTGAGAAATCAATAGTGACGAATTGAAGATCGGGCATGTAGGAATATTCTGTTACATGCCATCATCATCTTTTGAAAAATACAAAAGATTTCTACCTTCAGTGAACATTTTGCCTTACCCGTATAATACATTAATTCATATTCCTAAACACATTTCAACATTCATAAACTTCGATAAAATAAATTTTCTTAAATTTTGAACATTTTAACATACCTACCATTTATTTTATTTCAATTTTCTTAATACTCAGATTATTCAAATTTGATTAAAATACTTACGCACTGTAGAGAATCCACTGCCACCATTCGTTAATGATATTAACAACAAAAAAAATAGCAAATCACAAACTGTTATACATTTTAACCATTTTTTCTGGCCTGTAAGAACCATAATGTCTACTTGTTTATCAGAGATAAAGACTTGTGTACGTGTAAGTAATATTGTATACAAACATGCGTCTAGGGACCCATCCCGATTACCATCAGTTACAATTTTGATAAATACTTCCTGTACACCACCATACGCGGTGCGTTATAAGGGTTCAAAGAAAATAGAAAATGACCAAACGTTAGATATTTCTAGAAACCTACACCGAAGGGTTTAAATTATATTTCATCGAAAAGTATCAAAAAATAACAGCAAACCAAGATGCTAACGTTTACCATGAATTTGATAGTTCTCCCGCCACAATTTTTTCAAAATAAAATATAATCAGTTTATAGATTTCAGTTATCATTTTTTGTTTTTTTTTTTTTAATTTCTGATGGCGTCAACGCTTTGACTTCCTTTCTCATTATTTGCAACTTAAAAAAATATATTATAACATATACCCTTGCCGAAAATAGGATATTTCTCCCTGATTTCAGGGATGATATTAGTGCAACATTCCATTCCGGATAAAAAAATCGTGTTTACTCCTTATTTCTCACCCCTCTAAAAAAATCATATACAGACTTCAAAAAAAGTTTACGGCATCCCTCCCAGGACGAAATGTCATGCTTTCATCCCTTGGCGCGTAATATACTCTTAACTCCAAAATATGTTGATGTCAAGAGTATTTAAAAGCATTTTTCCAAAATATTTCAGTGTGATCCGTATTTTAATATTATTGCTCATGGTTCAAGATCCATATTATCTAAACTCCAACCGAAATGAGATATCGACTTGAAAGTAATAAATAATAAATAAATCTTTGAGCTAGAGACGAAAATCGTGTTTAAAATTATAAAAGAACTATTTAATGGGAACAAAAACTTTTCTATCTAACTAATCCTAAGAATATCTCTTAATTTTTTTAATTAAAATTTCATCATCAAATTGAAATTTGATCATCAGGTTTTGAGAAAAATACCCACA